ATGTGTGTCTTGTCCTGGCTGGTGTGTTTAGTGGTTAGAGCATCAGCCCTTGAACTGAAGGGTCTGGTGTTCTTTATTTGTGACAGTATTTTAACAGTTCTTTACATGAACTAGAATTTGTTTTATTTTTAGTGCAAAGTACCGCACAATGATTTTTCATGTGCTTTATCTTCTCAGTAGGTATTACTGTTTTAATTTTACAGAAAAACTAAACTCAAAGAGGTTAATTAAGCATTCTGTACATTTGGCGACCAAAAATGGCAGACTCTAAATTCACACTCATTTATTCAGCCCATGTCCAGTGTTCTCATCATTGTACTGCAGTTTTTACTTGACATTTCCCCTAGTGGATAAAATATATCCCTCTAAGATGTGTGTCAGTATCCAGCCTATCAAATATCCCCCCCCCCCAAAAAAAAAAATCACAATCTTTGTACCCAATGATGATTGTTTGAATTTTATTGATGAATATGTTCTATTCGCTGTCTTTGGTCATATTGGTGATATTTCTGTAGTCTGCTTTAAGGTTGTCAAAGTAGCCACTGTCTCTTGGCTTTATACAAAGGCAAGAAGGAAAGAACAAGATCATAAGTTTTGATGGTGAAAACAGAGTAGTAATAGATTTTCATATATCAAAAAACAAAGTAATTAACTAAAACTACAAAATCAATGCTATCTGAATCAGTGTTAATACATTGAACAAATAATATATTTTTATGAAACAAAGTCACTGCCTATTTTTTAGTTTTTCATACCTATAATTCATATCTATCTAAACAATAACAAGATTTTTCTATTTGAAACTTTTCAATACCTTCATTTCTGTAGCTAAATATATTATTTAAATACCTTCCCCCTGATATGTTATTAGTCAGCATCAATTAAAGTTACGATACTTGATGACAATGCAATAGTAAATACAGACAAAAGCATGAACACTCATAGGATCCAGCAATTCCACTTCTGGATATTTATCCAAAGGGAACAAAAACATTAACTTGTAAAGATACCTACACACACACACACACACACACACACACACACTGTGTTTATTAAAGCATTATTTACAACTAGTTGCCTGTTGCACGAAATTCGTGTGTGAAGTGTGTGTGTGTGTGTGGGGGGGGATCCCTCTGGGAATAACGGGCAGTCGGATGTAGGGATTGGGCTTAAACTGGCAGTCAGACATTCCTCTCACAATCCTGGACAGCTAGCTCCTAACTGCTCACCTGCCTGCCTGCCTGATCGCCCCTAACCACTCTGCCTTCCAGCCAACTGCCCCCAACTGCCCCAGCTGGCCTTCTTGCCAACTGCTTCCCCCTCCTCTCCATCCCCCCATGCCTGCCTGCTCACCCCCAACTGCTTCCTCTGCCAGCCTGATCACCACCACTGCCTCCCAGCCCGCTCAACCCCAGCTTCCCCCCCACGGGTCTGATCACCCCCAACTGCCCCCCACTGTCAGCCTGCTGGGCCCCTCTGCTGGCCTGCTTGCCCCCAACTGCCCTCTCCTCCTTGCCTGATCGCCCCCAACTGCCCTCTCCTCCTTGCCTGATCGCCTCTAACCGCCTCTGTCTCAGCCCTGCCACCCTGGTTTTGTCCAGAAAGATGTCTGGAAGGTCTCCCGGAACGTCTCCCGGTCTAATTAGCATATTACCCTTTTATTAGTATAGATAGCCAATGAATGGAAACAATCTAAGCATCAATGGGCAGATAAATGAATAGAGAAGATGTGATGTGGCAAGGGGTGTGTGTGTGTGTGTGTGTGTGTGTGTGTGTGTGTGTGTGTGTGTGTTTATTTTTAATAGCTTTATTGAGATCTTTCATATAACATACAATTCACACATTTGAAGTGTACAATTCATTGGTTTTTAGTATGTTCACAGTGTTGAGAAAACACCACCACAATCAATTTTAGAAAATTTTTTAGATGGCCATTATATATATATATATATATATATATATATATATATACACACACACACACACACACACACACACACACACACATTATTGATTTCAGAGGAAGGGAGAGGGAGAGAGAGAGAGAAATATCAATGATGAGAGAGAATCATTGCTGGGCTGCTGGACTGCCTCCACATGCCCCACACAGGGGATCTGGCATGTGCCCTGACCGGGAATTGAACCTTAACCTCCTGCTTCATAGGTGGAGGCTCAACCCCTGAGCCACACCAGCCAGGCTAGAATATTTTTATCACTCCCAAAAGAAATCCCATACTCATTTAGAGTCACTCCCCATCTCCCTCCAGCCCTCTCAGACCTAAGCAACCACTATTCTACTTTCTATCTTTATGAATTGGCTATTTCTGGGCATTTCATAAAGTGAAATCATAATATGTGGTCTTTTTTACTGGCTTCTTTCACTTATTATAATGTTCTCAAGATCTATTCATATTGTAGTATGTATTAGTACTTCATTCCTTTCTATGACTGAATATTATTTCATTATATAGATATGTTACATTTTGTTTATCTATTCATCAATCAGGCATTTGAATTGTTTTCACTTTTTGGTCATTACCAGTAATGCTGCTATGAACATTTGTGTACAAATTTTTGTGTGGACATATGTTTTCAATTCTCTCTTGCCAAGATTGCAATTGCTGAGTCATATGGTAAGTTTATGTTTAATTTTGTGAGGAACTGTCAAAGTGTTTTTCCAGTGTCTGCACAATTTCGTATTCCCACCAGCAGTGTATGAGGTGTACCTTTTTTCCATATCCTTGCCAATTCTTGTTATTATTTGTCTTTTTTTATTATTATTATAGCCATCCTAGTGGGTGTGAAATGGTATCCATTAAATTTTTAAGTATTTTTTCTTGTGATAAAATACACATAATGTACCATTTGAACTATTTTAATCCATTGTTTAAAATTTTTTTTTTGTAGAATGAACTCTTAAAAGAGTGCTGAATTTTAAATAAATCTGAAAACAAAAACTATCTAAATAGTAATTGCAACTACTTAAAGGCAATCTCCAAAATCTGAATAGGTGTGTTCCAAGAGTTGTTTGTCAGTTACTTGGAAGTCATTTACTTGAGATTTATTCCCCCACCCTCACAGGAACAGTATATTAAACATGGGCATAATGTCTCTGAGTCAACAGCTGGAATGGAGAGGTCTTTACTTTTCAGCCTATTTTAATGCCAACTCTGAGTTGCATAACCTAGACATTCTTTGGTTGCTATTATAGGAGCACCAAGGTTCTCACTGTACATTTTGCTGAATATTCCATTTCTTTAACAAATCTCCCACAGAATTCCTTGCTTTGGAACCAAAATTCTAAAATGATGACTTAAGAGTTTTTTGTGGTGATAGCTTTGAAGGGTTCAGCTATCTTATTGGGTTTGCACAGCTTTAGACTGAAGTTGTGGTTCTAAATGGCACCTGAGTATTTCTGGCTTTTTAGAGTGTTTGTGAAAATATTAATTGAGACTCCTTGGTGGTTGCTATGGTCCCCAAAAGCCATCTCCATAATCATAGGCAGTAGATGGGACATGTTTATGTATACTATTTGTATATTTAGTACTCATTTTAAGATACTTGTGTCAATAGATATTTTATATGACTATCTAATAAAAGAGTTCTTTATGAGTCTCATGGGCTGTGCTGTTGTGACTCTTAAAAAATATTCTGTATTCTTGACATTAGTAGTATTTTCCTCATGCTGAGCAAGAATTGTCATGTATTTATCTATTTGACATGTGCATTACCTTAATTCTAGTTGCAGAACAAGTGATAACTATTCAAATAATTGAGTTGAAGAAATTTAATAGTCAAACTTCAGAATTACAGAAATTTACTTATGTATTGAATCACTAGAGATTCTTGTAGCAGTAATTCAAACATTTATAGCAGTAACTTCTTCTGGAGTTAAATTAGTTTATTTCCCCTTTGGTCTAGTGCAGGCTAAATTTGGAATTGGAAAAACTAGGAAAGCTTGCTTTTGCAGTCTACGGATAAAGACAAATGTGAAGGCTCGATTAGTTGTTTATCCTAATATGTCAGATTTCTGATGTCTATTTTTTTTTACTTTTTTATAACAACTAGTTTTAAGTATGTTTATTTTATATGTAAAAATATGTTGTGTGCATGAGAATTCTGAACACAAATTCCTGTTTTAAAGAAAGCAAAAATGTTGATAATATTTAATGCACCACCTTTTATAAAAGTTTAAAGAATCATTGACATATAAGTTTGTAAACTTTTGAAGGCAAGGCTATGATTTATTCATCTTAATTATTTTTCTAGAACTGATCACATTACCTTGAGCACAGAAGGCAATGAGTAATTATTTTTAATCAATCTATGATGAAATTTATCCAGTCGCTTTTCTGTTCCTTTCATTCATCATTGATAAGAAACCATAAAAGTAAAATAAAATTTTATTTGAACATGCTTTTGTATAATAATTACATTTATTTTATGATATGAAGAATAACAGTTAAAAATTAATATCAGTTAGTATTTCAAAATTCACATTTAATAAAACATATTGAAGGGTAATTACTCATTTTTATAAAAGGGTACCTTTCATAGATTATTTGTAATTTAATAATTCAGTAAGTTTCTTCAAGTAATAAATGCACATTCAGCATTCTATTTATTAAATTTGCACATTCAGCATTCTATTTATTAAATTTGCATTCATTCAGAAATGAACCAAATATGGAAAGTAAGTAGCATGTGTGTATATCAAACACATGAAACTCAAAAGGTAAGCTTTCCATAGGAGAAAAATATTAAATGTGTGTATATATAATTTAACAAATCCACTCTAATGGTAGGTATGTTTATTTTATAGGTCAGAAAATTAAGACCTAACTTGCTACCTTGTCTGGAGTCATATGGTGAGTTTGCTGGAAATTGAAATCAGACCAAAGATTTCCGAATCCCAATTTTATGTTTCAATATTTGGTGTTAAAGTGACTCATAAAATTGATTGTTGTTATATATTGGTGCTTAGGTGACTCTACAACTTGATGGATGACAATAATTCTTTTCAACCAAAAAGTAAGTATTGTTGCTGCAAGTGATACTAGTATGCGTGACTTTCTTACTTATAACCTTGCTTCATGAGAAAAGGTAAGAAAGGTATAGGTGGGCACAGTTTAAACACATGTATTAAATAATACATACTCATAGTTTTAAAAAAGAACAATATACAATAAAAAATGTTAGTAAACTAGAAATTAAATATTTCTTCATCCCCAGAGGTAATTACTAATATCGATTTGGTATACATAATCAAACGTTTTTTATATATAGACAAACTAAATTATTTCTAAATAAAATGATGCTGTATATGCTATTATATGCCTTTTAAATAATTTTACTCAACAATATACCTTGAAATATATTGACAGTGGCAGTACCTAGTTAAAACAATGAGGGACATCTATAAACATAGATGTAAATGATTTTTTTATTATCAGTATACATGAGTATCCCTCATTTTTAAATTTTTTCTTAATCTTTATTGTTGAAAGTATTACAGATGTCCCCTATCCAGCCCTTCCCCACACATTTGCCCATGGGCTATGTATATAAGTTGTTTTTTTTTTAATAATCTCTTCCCTCCTCTTCCCTTCCCTCTGAAATATGGCAGTCTGTTGAATGTTTCAGTGTCTCTGGATCTGTTTTGTTTGTAAAAGATAGCACTGCCTGACTTTGCTTAGTTTCTTAGCCTGTAAATTATCATATGTTAAGTGCCTAGTGTATATCCAGTAGACTACTGTGTGTTAGAGGAAATACAAAGGAAGAAGAAAATATGTTCTTCACTATTAAGGAGCTTACTTTGGAGTAAAACATGTACAGTTCAGACACATTAATAGTGAGCAGTTTGAGATCATGTATGATAAATTTTGAATTGCATTGAATATTCTATCAATGTAGTAAGAGGCAGAAGAAAAACAAGGTTTAATGGTTTATTGAGGAGATTTTAATTGAACCAAGAGTTGGGAAGGGGCAGAGAATTAATATTTTGTTGATTATATGTGTGAAGTTAGGTACTTTGTGTGACATTTTTATAAATTTACCTTACCACTTTAATTAGGTTGATATTATACCATTATTAGAAGTGAGGAAACAGATCCAAGCAATTTCTCCAGTCATATGATTAGAAGTGGTGCAATGAAGATTTGAATTATTCAATTTGATGTCAAGTTCATGCTCTGTCTACTATACTTAATAATGTGCACAGTCTAAGGTAAGGAGGAAGGATATTATAGATGGAAGAAGCAGTATAAATGAGGGCTTCAAGGGACAAAATGAGGATCGTATTTTCAAAGTATTCAAAATATGCAAATGCTAATCTATGAATTACTTTTTAATTTTATTTAGAGCAAGCATATTAAACTTGAGGCCAGTCACCAGCTGCAAGTTTGACATGCTTGACATAGAGCATTCTGCATGTATATGTATATTTTTTAAAGTATACTTTAGAAAATAAAGGGACCAGTTCATAAAACTGGTTATATTTGGGAGGGTGGGAAGGTTTTTTGTTGTTGTTGTTTTCTTTTATTATAGGTGGACTACTAACCATGAAGCAACTTTATGCCAAGAAATCATTTAGGCATACCAGTATAAAAGGGGAAATATTAAAGCTTTTTAATAATAACACCAATACGCTGAAACCGGTTTGGCTCGGTGGATAGAGCATCGGCCTGCGGACTGAAAGGTCCCGGGTTCGATTCCGGTCAAGGGCATGTACCTTGGTTGCTTGCACATCCCCAGTAGGGGGTGTGCAGGAGGCAGCTGGTCGATGATTCTCTCTCATCAATGTTTCTAACTCTCTATCCCTCTCTCTTCCTCTCTATAAAAAATCAATAAAATATATTTTAAAAATTCTTTTAAAAAATAAAATAAAGATGAAATACATATATCATTGTCTTAAAAATGTATTATTGTCTGAGCCTGGAATTATTTTTGTTTTAATTTTATTGTTTATTTGTTCTCACTCTACATATCTAGCACCATTTCTATCCATCCATATTGCTATTATATTGATATTAAGTGTTCCCTCAAATCTTTTTAAGAAAACAAAGTTCCTCCTTAAGTGTCTGATTTTTAAACCAGAACAATACATGCATAGCTTTAAAAATAAAAATAATCTTAAAGTTATAAATTGCATAACCATCATTTCTGAAGGGTGTAAAAGAACAAGAGAAAAGGTTGTGCACATGGGTTTGCATATGTTTTGGTTCTGTATATTCCCATGTTTTTTTCAAGACACCCACTGTTATTAGTTTAGCTGTTTTTCTAATCATCACTTCAATATTTATAAAATTTTAAAACACAGAGTGCTATCTGTTGAATCATAAGTTTTTGCCATTATCTAATGATTTTCCTATTAAGTACTATGAAGAGTTTAGGTTTCTTATATTATCCCTACCCTTCAAGCACCTCCTATTGTAGTTACAGTTTAATTTTTGTTTAAATCCTATTTGATGTTTTTATTATGTTGGCCTTAATAAAATTGTTCCCTGATGAGTATAGTACTATGGTATTATATGTTATAGATACATGTATTTTTTTTTTCTGTTTTTAAAAATATATATTTTATTGCCGAAACCGGTTTGGCTCAGTGGATAGAGAGTCGGCCTGCGGACTGAAAGGTCCTGGGTTCGATTCCAGTCAAGGGCATGTATCTTGGTTGCAGGCACATCCCCAGTGGGGGATGTGCAGGACGCAGCTGATCGATGTCTCTCTCTCATCGATGTTTCTAACTCTCTATCCCTTTACCTTCCTCTGTGTAAAAAATCAATAAAAATATTTTAAAATAATAATAATATATTTTATTGATTTCAGAGAGGAAGGGAGAGGGAGAGAGAGAGATAGAAACATCAATGATGAGAGGGAATCATTGATCCACTGCCTCCTGCTCGCCCCCCACTGGGGATCGAGCCTACAACCCTGGCATGTTCCCTTGACTGGAATCAAACCCGGGACCCTTCAGTCCCCAGACCCACTCTCTATCCACTGAGCCAAACCAGCTAGGGTACTTTTTTCTGTTTTAAAATATATTTCTTTATTGATTTCAGAAAGGAAGGGAGAGGGAGAGAGAAATAGAAACATCAATGATAAGAAAGAATCATTGATTGGCTGCCTCCTGCATGCCTCCTACTTGGGATTGTTCCCACAACCTGGACATGTCCCCTTGACCAGAATCGAACCTGGGATTCTTCAGTCTGCAGGCCAGCGTTCTATCCACTGAGCCAAAGCGGCTAGGGCTACTTTTTTCTGTTTTAAAAAATATAGGCATCAATTTAAATTTTTTATTTTTTAAAATTTGCTAAATTTAGTTAAGGCCTATAGCCAAGTTATCTCACACCCTTCTATGGTCTCTTAACTCAATTTTCTATATGGCAAAACTTGTAATCTATCAATTTAATTTTTAGTGTGTGTGTGTTTGTATGTTTTCTCCTGGAGACATTCCTCCTGGGGGTAATGTTCTCCTGCTCTACATTGCCTGGTTACTCTTTAGACCTGTTGAACAGCTATTGTCCTGGGACTTTCTTTTGTCTTTGCATTGTATTATATATTGTATATATCACATTTTCTGCATCCTGGTCTTCCTCCTTTCTCTCTTTTTTAAAAAAAATATATTTTTTATTGATTTTTTACGGAGAGGAAGGGAGAGGGATAGAGAGTCAGAAACATCGATGAGAGAGAAACATCAATTAGCTGCCTCCTGCACACCTCCCACTGGGAATGTGCCCGCAACCAAGGTACATGCCCTTGACCAGAATCGAACCTGGGACCTTTCAGTCTGCAAGACAATGCTCTGTCCACTGAGCCAAACTGGTCAGGGCTTCTTTTGCGTTTTTTGTTTGTTTGTTTGTTTGTTTGTTTGTTTTTTAATATATTTTATTTTGATTTTTTTTTTACAGAGAGGAAGGGAGAAAGGATAGAGAGCTAGAAACATCCATGAGAAACATTAATCAGTTGCCCTCTTCACACTCCCCACTGGTTATGTGTGCAGGAGTCCTCAACCAAGTCACATGCCCCTGACTGGAATCGAACCTGGGATCCTTGAGTCCACATGCTGACACTCCATCCACTGAGCCAAACCGGTCAAGGCACTTTTTTTTACATTTTTAAAAATATGTTTTTAGCTGAAACCTGTTTGGCTCTGGATAAAGCGTTGACCTGCGGACTGAAAGGTCCTAAGCTCGATTCCGGTCAAGGGCATGTACCATGGTTGAAGGCACATCCCCAGTGCAAGAGGCAGCTGATTGATGTTTCTCCCTCATCAATGTTTCTAACTCTCCCTCTCTCTTCCTTTCTGTAAAAAATCAATAAAAATATATTTTAAAAATATGTGTGTGTGTGTGTGTGTGTATATATATATATATGTGTGTGTATATATATATGTGTGTGTGTGTGTGTGTGTGTGTGTGTGTGTGTATATATATTTTTTTTTTTAATTGATTTCAGAGAGGAAGGGAGAGGGAGAGACAGAAACATCAATGATGAGAAAGAATCATTGATGGGCTACTTCTTGCATGCCCCACAATGGAGATTGAGCCACAACCCAGGTATGTGCCCTGACCTAGAATCGAACCGTGACCTCCTGGTTCATAAGTCAATGCTCAACCACTGAGGCACACCAGCCAGGCCCTTTTTATTTTTTAAATTTTCATCCAAGGATTTGTTTATTTTAGAGAGCAAGAAAGCATTGACATGAGAAATATCCATGGGTTGCCTCCGTTAAGCACCCCAACTGGAAATTGAACCTACAACCTTTTTGGTGTACTGCCAATGCTCCAGCCAACTGAGCCACCTGGCCAGGGCTCTTCCTCCTTAAGTGTCATATTTTGGTGGATTCTTTCTAAGAACAGATGAATTGGGAGTAAATTTTATTTAATGTTTCTTGCCTTTATTTTTTATGAAAATATGTACCTTATGCTTAATGAAAATCTTGGCTGGTTATACAATTCTAAATTGAAATCTATTTTTACTAAGACTTGTGAAAACAATATTCTTCTCTCTCTCCACTCTCACTCTCTCAGATGTCACAATATTCCCTTATCTTCAGCATTCTGAAATTTTACAATATGTCCCTCAACTGTTTCTTAATTATTGTGCTAGGTGCTGGTGAGCCCTTTCTATCTGGAAATTTATATCCTTAAGACCTGGGAATTTTTTATTGTATTTTTTCATTTGATTATATTCCCTCTCCTTTTTCTTTTTCTGGAACTTTTATTACGGTAGGTGAGTTGTAATTTTGAAATTTATTTGCCAACACACACGGTGGGCAAAAATAGGTTTACAGTTGTGAGCACACAAAATAGTTTATTGTTGTATTATTATTTATTAAGTATTATATTATTTTCCATACAAACAACTATAACACTACTTTTGCTCAACCCTGTATATATATATATTTTTTAGTTCCAGTTATGGGACATTTACTCAACTATGGCATTTGGTTTTTTACTGAATTTTGGCTGTATTATTATAATCTTTTTGTTTTCTAAATGTTACTTTTAATAGCTTTCTTGTCTTATCTCTCTAAAAATGTTAATTATAGTCTCTCTAATTTTCCTGCCCTATATATTGTTTTATAATTTTCCTGCCCTATAATATTATCTGTGTTTCCTTTAAGATCTTTTATTTTGTTTTATTGTTTTTGTCTTTCACATTGGAAGTTTTAGTCATATTTCTGATGATCATTAGTTGTACATCCTTATTAAGAATGAGGCACCAGCCAGGACCGGTTTGGCTCAGTGGATAGAGCGTCAGCCTGCGGACTGAAATGTCCCGGGTTCGATTCCAGTCAAGGGCATGTACCTTGGTTGCGGGCACATCCCCAGTGGGGGTGTGTGCAAGAGGCAGCTGAGTGATGATTCTCTCTCATCGATGTTTCTAACTCTCTGTCCCTCTCAATTCCTCTCTGTGTAAAATCAATAAAATATATTTAAAAAAATTTTGTGGCACCAAAATGATCACTTGCTCTGTCAGCACTGTAGCTTGGTGGTATTCACAGTACTGTATGCTCTTTGCTTAGTTTCTTCATGTGAGAAATGTCTAGATCTATCCTAAGATGGAATAAGCCTCGCTTAACATTCTCTATTTTCAATGTAGCACCACATTCCTGCTTTGCTCTGTGCCTAGTATCCCCCAATCTGGTTCAGTCTTTCTATTATATCTCCCACCTGTTGCCTCTTATTCTTTACTTATCTCCCATTTAGTTAATGTAGGAGTTGGGGGAGGGTTCAGATAATAGGTATAGGCAGTCCTTTTCATAGATATAATCATATTCTACTTATAAAACTAAAACTCAGTTTGATTGGATTTTAATGTTCCTAAAATCTATTGGCCACTGTAAATACCTATTGTCATCCATTATTTATCTAGCTAGCATAATTTTACTAGTTTAGATATTAGAGATTGATTTTTATTTTCTTAATTTTGCTACTATTTACTGATTATAAATATCAATTCAGTAATTGCTATTCGGATTATCAAAGTATACATTAAATATACTATGTGTTGCAAGAAGTATTTTAAAAATAAGATTTGCTTCTCTCCTTTTGCAAATTAGATAATTCAAAAATGGCAGAACTCTTTATGGAATGTGAAGAGGAAGAACTGGAACCATGGCAGAAGAAAGTAGAAGAAAAGCAGGATGAGGAGGATGATGAGTTGATCTTTGTTGGAGAGATATCAAGTTCAAAACCAGCCATTTCAAGTAAGCATTAACTTTCAGTGAAGTTTTATAAAATGTTTCTAATGGAAAAATATGTGTGCTGTCTTATATGTACTTGTTACTGTATAAGGTAAGAAGGAGCATAGAGGTCATTAATAATTTGTGAGAATCAGAGGGAGAATGTGGTTGGGACTTTTACTTAATGGCATTGTAAGCCTTCTGAGATGGGAATCATAATTTTTAGTAGAACCAAGTAGCCTATTTATCTGTTTTTGTTTTTTGTTTTGTTAATTTGTCTTTTTTCCCCTAAAGCCCAAATGTACCTAGAAAAGGAAATGTTTGGACTGCTTTGTTTAAAATACCAGAATACTAAATAAGTTTGTGTTAGTCTCTAAGGGGGTTCTCATATCACAGTGTCATCTTGATTCATGGCTACAAAATGAACATACACTGCATGATTATACAATCTCTGGTCTGTGTATTTATGTGGGCTGTAACTTCTGAGCACAGCCATCTTCCAGCCATCTTCTGAGCACAGCCATCTTCCTGATTATATTCATGAAGGAGGAGGGCATGGTGTTCAGCCTATGTACTTGGATGATACAGGCAGTCAGCACACTTAATCCTCATGCCTTTCTAGCAGAACATGACCAGTATCATTGTGGATTATTAGATTTCATTTATAGTAATTAGACTTATCATTGTTATAATGTTAAAGTGAAGATATTGATGACATTTCTTTAAATGTCCAATAATAAATGTGAATATCAGGGAGAAAGAGGAAACAGATTCTTTCCCATTGTAGTTACTGTTTTTAAGCCAGGAGAATTTACAAAAGAATGTAGCCAGCATCCCTGTATTTTCTTACTTACCATGACAATGCATAATAGTATGGTTGAGAGGTAAGTGTGTGTTTTTTTGTTTTGTTTTTGTGTTTGTTTTTTTTCCCCCTGAAAGCCTAGTTCTTTCTTCTCTTGATTCTAAAGTTGAAATACTACTTCTATTCAGTTTCATCAGTAGAATAATTTATTTAATTCTCAAAATTATTTCTTGTGGCAAATTGAAAAGTACTAAGTGGAGTGCCACTTCATGTATAAAACGAACTAGACATGGCTCTGTCCATTGTTCTTAATGATTAGAGCACTGGTCTGTACACTGAAGGGTAGTAGGTTCAATTCCTGGTCAAGGGCATGTACCTGGGTTGCAGGTTGACTCTCTGGCCCCGGTCAGGAAACCTTACCTTACATTCAGGAGGCAACCTATTCAATGTGACTTTCTCACAAATCATTCTTTTTTATGACCAAGTAATATTTCATTGTATATATGTACCACAGCCTTTTTGTTTTGTCTTGTTAATCCTCACTGATGATTTTCCTCCCATTGGTTTTTAAATTGTGTGGAAGGGAGGGAGGGAGGAGAAGGGGAAGAGAAACATTGATGCATCAGAGACACATTGATTATTGCTTCCCACACCTGCTCCAATTAGGGGCAGGGCTGGAACCTGCAAGCCAGGTACGTGCCCTTAACCAAAGAATTGAACCCAAAACCCTTTGGTGCAAGGGCCGATGTCCTAACTACCAAGTCACACTTGTCAGAGCTGTACCACAGCCTTTTTATCTATTCATCTGTTGATGGGCACTTGGGTTGCTTCTATATCTTGGCTATGGTAAGTAATGTTTCAATGAACATAAGGTTGCATATATTCTTTCAATTTAATGTTTCAGGTTTCTTCAGACATATACCCAGAAGTAGAATCACTGAATCATGAGCCAGTTCCATTTTTAATTTTTTGAGAAAACTCCACACTGTTTTCCATAGTAGCTTCATCAATTTGCATTTGCACCAACAGAGCATGAGGGTTCCCTTTTCTACACATCCTTACCAAAACTTGTTTTTTGATTTATGGATGATAGTCTTTCTGATAGGTGTGAGGTGGCTTTAATTTATATTTCTCTGATGATTAGTGACCGTGAGCTTCTTTTTGTATGTCTTGGCCATCTGCATGCCCTCTTTTGAGAAGTATTTATTTAGTGCCTCTGCCCTTTTTTTAATTAGATTGTTTTCTTGGTGTTAAGTTGTATGAGTTCTTTTTTTAATCTCACCTGAGGATATTTTTTCCATTGATTTCTAAAGAGAGTGGAAAAAAGGGAGGATGGGGGGAAGGAGGAGGAGGGAGAGAGACACACAGACAGGGAAGGGGAGAGAGGGGGAGAGAGAGAGAGACTAATGTGAGAGAAATACATCTATTGGTTGCCTCCCACATGCGCCCCTACAGGGCTGGGGAACCTACAACCGAGGTACATGCCCTTGACTGGGAATAGAGCCCAAGACACTTAGATCTAAAGGCTGATGCTCTAGCCACTGAGCAAACCTGGTCAGGGTGAGTTGCATGAGTTCTTTATAAATTTTGTATAGTAACCCCTTATCTGATATAGCATTGGAGAATATTTTCTCCCATTCAGTAGGTTATCTTTTCATTTTGTTGATGATTTCATCTGTTATGGAAAGCCTTTGTAATTTGATTTGGTTTGAGATTTTTTAAATGTCTTATACCTTTTCCTGATTAGCAATTTTAGGCAAATCTCTACTGTTCCAAATTTTCATTTGATTCCTCAATAACCTACAACTTATGGGTTCACATGGATACAAGAGTGAGCAATATTAAACTGATCCAGAGGATCATATCAGCCACAAATTTACTTTTGGTATAGTAGTAGATTTGAGATACTCTGATAAACTCTGGATTCAATTTACTGTGCATCCTCTGACAGTGTTCCTTTTAGAGTTCAGGAGTAATGGTACAGATAATCCAGTCAGTTTACCCATAATGAAACTTCTAGATTTTTAGAGGTGTGAATGTGGCATGGGAACTAGGGGAGGGCTTGAGTCACAGGAACTTATGCATATATACAACCTTGTTCTATTATTATCTATTAAAGTCAAATAAGTTTTAAAATAAATTTATTTTTCAATTACAGTTTACTTTCAATATTGTTTTGTATTGGTTTTAGGTATACTGTATAGTGGTTAGACAATCATACACTTTACAAATTGTTCCCCCTCATATATCCAGTACCCACATGGCACCATATATATTTACTGCAATGTTATTTAATAGATTTCCTATGCTGTACTTTATATGCCCATGACTCTTTTGTAAATACCAATCTGTACTTTTCAATCCTTTAACCTCTTTCACCCAGTCTTCCAAACCTCCTCCCCTCTGGTAATCACCAATCTGTTCTCTATGTATATGAGTGCATTTTAATCTTGTTTATTTGTTTATAATAACTGTAATTTTTATAGATATTTTGAACAGAGGTAACTCCAGCTCGTCTTCAAAGGCAATAAAGAATGAGGTACTCAGTCAAGGTAGAGTATTATTATGTTAATTTTAAAGTGAAATATTTTGACAAAATTTCTTGTAGAGAAAAATATTTAATGTGTTGTGTAATTTTAAAATACAGGTGTTCCTGATGCATTCAAGCCTACAAGTCCACACTACAAAGACCCAATATCAAATCCAGTGGCTGCCTTACCTAGATTTCAACCTCAACCTAAACCTTCACAAAGCTCTATTATTCAGAACGTGTCTAAATCTGTAAGTGTTTCTGAAACCACACAGTTAGCTCAAGGACACATTGGATATTATAATAACCTAGTTATTCTAATCCAGTTAGAATTATGGACTGTCATAGCTAGTCACCATTTTGGTAGAAGCATAATCACTATGAGAAAATATCCCCATCTTTATGATAGCTCAACCAATACTCAAAGTAATAACTGCAGGAACTAACTATCCAACCTGTTAATAAATCAGGCAATTACATTTAAACTAGAGGCCCAGTGCACTACATTTGTGCACTGAGGGTGTATCCCTCAGCCCAGCCTGCACCCTCTTGCAGTCCAGGACCCCTCAGGGGATGTCCACCTAGCAGGCCAGGGAGTGGGCCTAAGCCAGTAGGTGGACATCCCCCTGGAGGTCCTTAGTGCTGCTGCGGACGTGGGAGAGGCTCTCACCACCACCACTGCACTCCCCAGCCATGAGCCAGGCTTCTGGCTAAGTGGCACTCCCCCTGTGGGAGCACACTGACCATCAGGGGGCGGCTCCTGCATTGAGCGTCTGCCCCCTGGTGGTCAGTACACATTCAACCGTTATGTTGATTTGAATATTAGGGTTTTATTATATAGGATAGATATAATATTGAAAACTATGGCATCTAAAAAGTATAATTAGTAATGAATATTGCATAATGGTAAAATTTTTAAGATGATCATTTAAACCAGGTATTCTTAATTAGAAGATTGTTCTAAGGTCATTGTTGCTGTTTATTTTGAAAACATACCTTCAGAACTTAGTTTTTAACAGAAATAATAGGTAATGGTAATATTTAGTATTTGTTAGTCTGTTAATATCGATCTCTGTTCTAAATTCTATATATAAATTAATCTAATTTAATTCTTAATGACTTCTCTAAGATAGAGGCACAATAGTTATCCCCATTTAATAATTGAGAAAACTGAGGCTCAGAAAAGCTAAATAATTCACTGAAGACCATATAGCTAGTAAAAGATAAGTTTGAGATATCAATCCAGGTTAACCCAGAGTTTATTTTAAAAATTTCACATAAGCATATCTATCCATACATTTAGGTATATACTTTTAAAAATAGAAGCATTCTGCCTTAGCTGGTTTTGCTCAGTGGATAGAGCATTGGCCTGCAGAGTGAAGGTCCCAGGTTCGATTCCAGTCAAGGACACATGCCCAGGTTGTGGGCTCGATCCCCAGAAGGGAACATGCAGAAGGCAGCCCATCAATGATTCTCTCTCATCATTGATGTTTCTATCTCACCCTCCTCTTTCCCTTCTCTGAAATCAATAAAAAAAATTTTTTTTTAAATAGAAGCATTCCCTTAGGGCAACAGTACAGACCTCAGACTATTGAGATTTCTTGAGACTCTTTCAGGGTTCAATGAAGTTAAAACTGTTGTAACAGTATTTGCTGTTTCACTTATCAACATTTGCACTGGTGCTACAAAAGCAATGGAGGGTAAGACTGCTAGTACCTTAATATGAATTAAGGCAATGGAACCAAACTATAATAGTATCTTTGTATTAGTGACTGTTGTAAACCCAGAGTAGAAATGTTTTTTTAAGAATGTTTCATTTAAGAATATTCTTGAAGTAATAAATTTTTACTAATTTTATTAATGCTCAACCTTAAAATATACTTCTTTTTAAAAATTATGTGTGATGAATTGGGTAGGGTGCATAAAGTATTTCTGTATGTGCAGTATAAGCACTTGAGAAAAAGCAAGTGTGATTCAACTGCAAGCTGAACTTGCTGTTCTTTTTTAAAATATATTTTTATTGATTTTAGAGAGGAAGGGAGAAGGAAAGGTGGAAATGTCAGTGATGAGAGAGAATCTGGTCGGCTGCCTCCTGGGGACTGAGCCTGCAACCCAGGCATGTGCCCTGACTGGGAATTGAACCATGACCGATGCTCAACCACTGAACCATGCCAGCTGGGCCCACTTTTTTTTTTTTAATGGAATGCCATTTTTACTTTAAGGAAAGATTACAAAGCACATATATTACTCATCAGTTCATAAAAATACCATAAACTTAGAAGCTTAAAGCAATATACACTTATTATCCATGATTTCTGTAAGTCAGGAGTCATGGCATGGCTTAACGGAGTCCTCTACTTCAAGGGCTCATGAAGCTGCAATCAAGGTATTTGCCAGAGCTGGGTTGTACTGGGAACCTTGCTTAACCATACTTAAAGCTTACCTATTTATAAAATGAGAGATAATATTAGGCCTTTATTAGTACTGTTATGACAACTACTTGGTAGAATACATGTTGTGAAAGAGGCAAGTACATTTTAAATAGACAATAATTGGTGGCTCTTACTTCAGTTGGAAAGTTGAATAACCTGAACCTTAGAAGTGACTTGCCCAAGGTTTCATAGTTAAATAAATGGACAAGTTTTCTGAATCCCCAGTAATTTCTAATTAGAGAATTATTTTAACATGTTATTTGTTGAATAATGTGTCCGCTCTTTGAAATGATGGTACTTGATTGACCAGAGTTATCACCTAGGAAAGGGTTTAAAGTATTAATTTTATTTGGAGGAACTTCTGTTAAAGAACTATTTTGGATCATCGCTAGTGAATATTTTTCATTTCTAAGAACAGATATTTGAAAAAAGCTATCTCGCAGTAATATTGTGCTTGGTTACAATTAAGTCTAAAGTCATCATTGAGTTTATATAAACACACAGTAAGACTCAAATGCAGAAATCTGCCTGCTATGCCTAAAATTATAGGAATGGAATGGCTTGGGTCACTTCAATATCTGTCTCCATTACTTAAGAAACTTATGTCAATAGAAAACTTAGGAGCAAAGTAAGATTCTTAAAACCTGATTGTGTCTCAGCTTTAAGCACAAAACACTCAAGATTCTTATATTCCCATTTTAAAGGTAATATATATAGGAGGTAGAAAAGAAACAAGAGAATGCAAGGGTATTTTGCTATTGTTTCTGCAAATGGTTAGTGTAGTATATAGAATAATAATCAATTAGGATTATATTTTATACACATATCTGTTCCTTTTTCACTGAAATTTATATTGGAAACATTTTTCTTTGTCATTGGATATTTCTCAAAAATATGTTGCTTGATAATATGTCATTTAATTTATTTTACCATTCCTCCATTGTTGGAAATACAGGTTTTGATTTTTTGCTATAGCAAATAATTTTCCATTTTTTTGCTATAGCAAATAATTTTTCATTTCCTTAGCATAAATTTGTGGAAGCAGAATATTTGAAATAAGTAGATCAAAGGATATGAACTTTTTAAAGCCCTTAATAGATACTGCCAAAACTTTCTTGCAGAAAAGCTTGCCAAAATATAACCTCTACTTTGCCAATAATGTGATTGTTTTAACTAAATTTTTATTTCAAACTAATTTTCTATTTCTAGAAAAATTATTTTAATAATCCAGAAAGTTCACATTTATTCCTTATTTGGTAGATGCTAATTTGACAGAGTAATAATTACCTTTGTGTTTTTTAATCATTTTTTATGGTAGTGGCATACAGTTAAAATTACATTTATAAATGTTTATGAAATAAAATAATTGTAACTTTCACAGTCATTTATAAGGAGTTCTTCACAAGTTGAAATGGATGATTCTTCTGATTTACTGTTTGACCTGACCCAGGACACAATACCATCATCCCAAGGCGGATCGAAAGTTTATACAGAAGGTTTGGTTTATAACTTTTTAGAAATATAATAAAGAGAACTGATTAATATACATATAGAATGAATGTCTACTTTGAAACTCATACCTTTGAGTTAAGTTTTTCATACATTGTAAGATGGAAGTTAATAGTTTCTGTTGCCTTCTTGGATGGTTTTATATAAAATTGTATTTAATAATAGAATATTTCATTTATTTTTATAAGTTGACTAACATGTATTCTTTCAGCTCATTCTCACTTGGAACCACCATAGGCTATGAGTCAGGGAAGTCCCTTGGTATCCTAATACTATGGTTATTTTTTTAAGTATTATTTGGTAGGTTATTAATATGAGAAAAATTGTGTAGTTATAGTTGATTTTTTCATAGACTAGTTAGTGTCTTCTATCCAAATAAATCATGTAGAAGTGATAGTTAAATATGATTATAGAGTAGTCTTGTAAAATGGCAGTACTAAAGAAACTGATTTGCACATAGTAAGTACTCAGTAAATACCCATTGAAGGAATAATTAAAATTTCTAATTGAAAAAGAATTACCATTCTTTGATTGTATACCATAATAAAATTCTTCGTTATTGTTAAATAAACCAGTATGCCTTGAAGGGATTTTGTTGAGTTGAAAATGTCTTATAATCAAAGCAATTACTATTTCTATATTGGCAAATTTGATATATTTCACTAAATGGAGAGAGGTACACAAGACATTTTTGCATGTTTAAATTGTTTACTTAACAAATTAGTATGCATTTACTAAATCAAAACAATAAGAAATTTATAGTAATACAGGCAGTCCTTGGGTTACATCGGACTCAGGGTACGTCATTTCGTGGTTACGTTGCCATCTCCCATTTATTTTTTTTTTTAAAGTTCCGTCATTTTGACATATGTACATATGTGCTTTATGTTTTTTATTATTTATTTACCACAAGTAAAGGCCAGGAATTATTATCTTTATTTTAATTTTTTTTTACTGTTTCACTTCATTACTGCTGTGTATGTGCTCCATGTGAGTGTTGTAGGAGCTTATGTAGATGGGTTCCAACTTACCACGAAAATTACATTATGTCACACCATAGGAACAGATCTCCAATGTAACCCGAGGACCTACTGTATGTATACCAAAAATATATTTTCCCATTCTAAAAAATACTTGGCTTGATAGTCACATATCTAGGTGTCACTTATATAGTTAGTAAAATAGCCAAGATCCAAAATAAATGAGGAGAAAAAGTACTTGTCTGAAATCTGATTTTATAAAGTACACTAGAGGCCTGGTGCATGAATTCGTGCATGGGTGGAGTCCCTCTGGGTGGCCTTCAGGGATCAGGCCGAAACCCACAGTCCAACACTGCCTAAAGCTCCTATCTGATGCTCCCGCTCATCCTGGCCCCACTGTGCCTGCCTCAGGCTTGCGCCCAATCAGTCCTGATTGGAAGAAGCTCGCATTGCCCCAGCAGCGCTTGCTAGCCATGAGACCTACATCTGGCACCCACCTAAGGGGAGTGGCCTGCAGGATTGGGCTGAAACCAGCTCTCTGATATCCCCCAACTGGTCCTGGATTGCAAGAGGGCACAGGCCAGACTAAGAGACCCCACTGGTGCACGATCGGGCCGGGGAGGGGCCACAGGAGGACTCCAGGTGTGTCGGGCCCATTTCTCTCAGTCCTCATCCTTCAGATCCCAGCATCAAGCTAACCTACTGATCAGAGCATCTGCCCCCTGGTGGTTAGTGAACCTCATAGCAACTGATCAACCAGTTGACCATCTGCCCCCTAGTAGTCAGTGCACATCATAGCGAGCGGTTGAGCAGCCTTAGCATATCATTAGCATATTATGCTTTGATTGGTTGTTCAGTTCTGCTATTTGGTCTATTTGCATATTACCCTTTTATTATATAGATGGTCTTTTTTTCATAGAAAAAGCTTGAATTCTTTAAGCTTGTAGGGGGTAAAGACAGTGACTCCTACTCTATAATTGTAGTGCTATGAGGTTTGGAATATTGCCCTAATAGTAAATAGGGTTATAGTTAATTAGGAAGATATAGATTTCAGCAATATTTTTGTGGTCTTTATAATTAACACCTTTACACCTAATTTTCTCATATTACTAAAATAGATGCTTTTGTTTTTCTTACATAATGCATTCATTCTTCAGACCTGAAATTGGTTGTTTGCAGATATAATTTTAATTCTTACTCTACTTACCTAAGAGCTTTTTTGAGGCTCAAATGAGAAAAGTGAGAAATACATTAAAGTCTTAAACAGTTGTTAACATGATAATTATGAATGCTTATATATGCTATCTGTTCAGAAAAAAGATTACTGGACTTCTGTCTAGGATGATTGTAGAAGGTTCTTGGAGAATTTTGGATTTGAATTTGATTTTGCAGAATGATAGTGAACAAAGCAGAGGCAACAGATATAAATACTAGTAAGTTAAAGAGTCAGAACTTAAAACTATTGAGCTCAGAGTAATTTTATTTAACTTGGAGATTTAGTCATACTTCAAAAAATTATATATAAAAGTATATTTTTGCTATACAAATCGCTAGATAATCAGTTGCCTAGTCCAAAACAACAGCACTCATCAGTTGTTCAAATAACCTGATCATCTGAGAAGAATGTTAGTGTGATTACAAAAAAGACAAGTCCCAAGTGTTTGCAGTATTGCTACCAGTAATCATGTGCTTGAAAATGGAAAAAACAATTTCTATGTTATCTCAAAGAACGAAACACAGATTTGACAGAGGAACCCATTAATGTAATACTCTTATTTTCCTGGCTTATATCTATGATACTACTACTCCTTTAGTGTACAGTTGGGAACATTAAAATATAATGTAAAGTTTTAGAATTTTTATTACAAAGTACAATTGTGCTATTTTTAAAAAGAACTTTTGCTGAATCTGGTTATAGCTTAAATAGCCCCACCTCTCTTGCAAATTCCCTGAATTGAATGATCTTTTGGCCTTTAAAAGATTGGGTTTTCAAACTCAAAACTTTCTAGCAATGAAATCTCTATTTAACAAAATTTTATTTAACAGCCTAATTTTTTTTAAGTTTAAAGGGGGCTTCTTTATCTGACATGCCCACTATATTCCCTAAGACAAAGCCATTAGACTAAAGGGAATAAACAGATTATTTAAACTACCTGTCAACTTGTTAAGTATTAAAAGAACCAACTTGAAGTTTCCATTAGACATCTTAAGTTTTAAGTATCTTAAAGGGTTTCTCTAATTTTTAGAATAGAAATTGTTTTTACTTACAAGCTCTATGTCTCAGTATTGACACATCTAAAAATAAATTCATATTTGGAACTGAGCTTAGAGTATTCTCTATAGTTTAATTTTTTTCTGGGGATTGTTTTGGTCTGTTTTTCATACTACCTGTTTATTTATTCAAAAGCATCTTTAGCATTTTTTGTATTAAAGTTTATTTCATGAGTTTAAATATGTGTACTCCATAATAGCTGCTTGTGCAATTTCTTTAAAAAAAAAACAAAAAAAAAACCTGTTTTTATTGCCCTGGTCTGTTTGGCTCAGAGGATAAAGCTTCATCCTGTAAATCAAAGGGTTCTGAGTTTGATTCTATTTGGGGCATGTACCTTGGTTGCAGGCTCCTCCCCAGCCGAGGCCCTGGTTTGGGTGTGTGCAGGAGGCAATCAGTCAAATGTGAGAGAAACACATTGATGTTTCTCTCTTCCACTCTCTAATCAATGGGAAAATATCAAAATATCCTCAGTTGAGAATTAACACACACACACACACACACACACACACACACACACACACACACACACACACTAGAGACCCAGTGCATGAGGGGGATTCCCTCAGCCTGGCCTGCCTTCTCTCACAGTCCAGGAGCCCTCAGGGGCGGGAGGTGACCCAGCAATCGGGGGAAGGTGATGCCCCATCACACCTCTGCTGCTACCACTGCCAGCAAGCCTCAGACAGCCTTGGTTACCTGAACCTTGGACAGCCCTGGGCGGCTGGGCAGCCACCATATGAAGCTTGCCTGCACCTCAGGCCAGCTCTGGGTGGCTGGGCAGAGGACATCCAAGGCTTGCATGCAGCTCTGCCATCGGCTAAGCAGCTGCCATCTGAGGCTTGCCTGCACCTTGGGCCAGCCCTGAGAGGCTGGGGGGCTGAGAGGACTTGGGGGATTCAGGAGGCAGGTAGCCCCAGCAGAGCTGAGGGGACTGGGCACTGCAGTCTTGTGGCTGTGGGTGCTGCCATCTTTGAGGGCGTGGCAGTCAGTTAGCATATTCCCTCCTTATTGGCTGTGGGTGTTGCCATCTTTGAGGACGTGGCAGTCAGCATATTCCCTCCTTATTGGCTGTCAGTACACCATGAGGGTCAATTAGCATATTCCCTCTTTATTAGATGAGATATGTTTTCATTGATTTCTGAGAAGAATGGAGAGGAAGAGATAGAAACATCAATGATGAGAGAAAATCATTGATTGGCTGCCTCTTGCACACCCCATACTAGGTATCAAGCCCACAACCTGGGCATGTGCCCTGACCGGGAATCAAGACATGACTTCCTGGTTCATAGGTCGATGCTCAATCACTGAGCCACACCAGCTGGCTGTGCAATTTTTTCTACCTATTATATAAATTTTTATCATTCTTTATTGTCATTTGTATGATACGGTAATTTAATTATATTACCTTTAATTTAGCTCTGAAGTACTTTTACTTATTTTTAAAGGTAAGACCATTTTATTAGAATTTTTAAGCAATGTTTTGTTCTATATTAAAGCATTTACAAATATTATTTTCACTATTCAAATTATAGCTGTGGGTGAAACTCTACCTATAAGGAAACGTCCTAGTATTATAGCAAACAGAGTTCATCCAAAAAAGCCAAAGACCAGTGACGATGTTTCTGAAATTGATTCATGTGCTACATTATCTTTAGACAGCTCTTCTTCAGTGACATCCTCCTCAGTTATGACATCAAAAGGTAAATATGAATGTGGTATGTAAAAAAGAAATTATATATAAATTTTAGAAATTGTGATAAAATTTAAAACTATTATTACTGGCTGTTTAAGGTGTGAAAAGAAAAAATTGAGTAATAAAAATCCTTTATTTTAGGTACCTCATCAACTGAACATAAAACTGGAAATCCTTTTCAAAGATCTTGTCCAAAGTGCAATGTTCAGTTCAATAATTTGGATGCTTTGAAGTATCACATGAAGGTAAAAACTTTTTCAAAATTTTATTTTTAGAAATATCCAAAAAATCTCTGAAAATATTAAGAATTGATATATGCCTAAACCGGTTTGGCTCAGTGGATAGAGCGTTGGCCTGTGGACTGAAGGGTCCCGGGTTCGATTCTGGTCAAGGGCATGTACCTTGGTTGCGGGCACATCTCCAGTAGGGAGTGTGCAGGAGGCGGCTGGCCGATGTTTCTCTCTCATCAATGTTTCTGGCTCTCTATTCCTCTCTGTAAAAAATCAATAAAATATTTTTTTTTAAAAAAAAGAAGAATTGATATGTGATAAATGCTAATTTCTCCAGATACTTAGGTAAGAAATCTCCTCATTGGTATTTTTATGTAACTTCAGTAAAAATTGATACTCATAATGATTATCTTCCTAGAAGATTTAAAAATCCTTATCAAACATCAAAGCTTGAAAATTAAGTTTATATACACTACAGCATATGTATAGTATATTTTAATTTTTAATGAAGATAATATATTAATTAGAATATTTTATTAGGTGCTTAATCTTACATGTAATTTTATAATTCCTCTTTTTACCTTATTTTTTATCCATGGTGATATGTATGGCACATTACTTAATGAAAAATCTTAGTCTTGCATTTTAATTTTTAACGCTCAGACATAAACTCATAGTTGCTTATTTTTTCCCCTCTTTCAGCGTTGTTGTCCAGGCATGGTAAATAAGTTTTTGGAGATGATTAAAGTAGAAATTTCAAGTACTGAAAAGAAAACTAAGACTGGTTCAGACAAAGAAAAATTGATCATGTTAGTTAGTGACTTTTACTACGGAAAACATGAAGGAGATGTTGACAATGAAGAAAAGACTTACACAACCTTTAAATGCTTCAGTTGCTCAAAAGTTCTTAAAAATAATATTAGGTATGTAAATATCTATGTTTCTGTTTGAAAATTTGGATGCTACAGATGTAACTATTGTATCTTTATTTTTCTGTGCCATCTTAGGTAAGCAATTTTCACACTTTCTATGAAGAGCAAAGACAGATTATCATGTTGAAAAGCTTTTGTCCTTTCTTGTATTTTAGGAGTTTGACCTTTGGGCCTATTTAATTGTATTTCTTTTAAATAACTTAAGGACAAAATTTTTTTTAACCTAGGGCAAAATTACTTCATATATATATATATATATATATATATATATATATATATATCCTTGATCTAAGAATTTTCGTGAGGCATTTTTATTTTTTAACTATTTTTTGAATCTTATATCACAGAAAGAACCATTTCATCCAGTTTGACCTCCTTTGTACTAATCTTATTTAATGCTCTAATTTTCAATTCATATTTATAATTTTTAGCACATTTACCTTCCAGAGAAAGCTATCATTTTTTTTGGTAATCTTCTTTAAAGGACTACCAGTTCTTTGAAACATGTCTGTTTTGATTTTATGGCTTAGCACATTTTAAAAGCAGAAATTTAATTATCAGTGGAATTTTGAAGGTTTTTACATATATGCTTTAAATTTTAGGAACTTGTATTTTGTAGTCTTTGAGTTATATGTCATATTACATATCTATCATCCTAAGTGAGATAGTGATAAGAACAAAGTAACAAGACATTGACTCGTATTTTTCATTGTTTATACTGTATAGCATGACATTCTTTTCCTAACATTTTATTTTAAAAAATTTTAAATATTCAGCAAAGTTGAAAATTTTTACAGAGAAAATGCATGTTTGCCCACCTCATTTCTACTATAACATTTTACTATACTTATATTACTACATATTTATATATTCATCCATAGACCTGATTTTTTTATACATTTCAGAGTAAATTGCAGACATCATTGCACTTCCTTCTGTGAGATGCATATATGTATATGTGTACATGCACTTATATTTTGACACGTATGTAAACTTAAAAATATTTACCCTTGATAACCATCACTTGTAACTAATATTCTTAGGTATCCTATAGGTCATTTCTAAATCCAGAATTATATTTTATGGTGAATTTGGGTTTAAAAAGTACACAGAAAAACACTGAAATAAACTGTAATATAAATGTAAACTATGAATACTACATTTAGGGGTAGTACTTTATAATTTTCAAAGCTCTTTCAAATACTCTTTTCATATGAGTTTTCATACTTCTGTACCTTCTTTTTATCAAGCCCTAACATGCATCAATTGCTAAATGGTCTCAATAGCTTAACAGAAGAGAAATTGTACTTTGAGATAAAACACTGAAACACTGTGACCTCCTTAACATCATTTTTACCATTTTTACAGTAAAATTTATCAGAAAATAGCATTACTAATTTTGGTAAAATTCATAGAAAGTGGCTCATTGGGTAAGTTCCTTATACTTAAATGCTATGCATATTACATTAGAAGTTCTTTTTTTTTAGCAAAAGCTTTTTTTGCTCCTTGAGGTTAGCCATTTAATATTAAACATGAAACTCTTTTGTTTTCATTTCAAAAGACTGGTTACAGATTTCTGGATTATCAAACTGTCTAGAAATTTTAAGCTAACTATATTTTATAACATCTAGGAATTTTGTAGCATTTAGGCAAGACTAGGATGTTTAAAATAGGATTAAATAGGGATGATGTTAAAATGAAAGGGGAAAAAAAATTTCAAAATGTACTATAAGCAGCTCTGAAGTGAAGTAGTGTTTTGTAAGTGTGAAAAGATAAATAGTAAAACTGTGATGATTGCTACCTAAAAAATACTAATAATTTGTCCTTTAAACTACTTTGAAGCCTATGTTATATATTTAAGGCCTTCAAAAGATTTCTCTCATGAATCTATAACTACTTTTGGTGGTAAGGTTTCCTTCCTTTAAGTATTTTAAAACTAGAGGCCCGTTGCATGAAGATTCGTGCAATAGGCCTTCCTTCCCCTGGCTGCTGGCACTGGTTTTCCTCTGGCACCCAGGGCCCAGGCCTTCGCTCTGGCTGCAGCGGAAAAGTCAAATCTCGAGGCTAGGCTTCTCCGCTCTGGCCACAGTGGAGAAGCCAACCTCTTCAGTCTTCAGTCGTCTTCAGTCTTCACTCAGGCCAGAGCCTTCAGTCTTGACTCTGTGCCTGCATATGCAAATGAACCCACCATCTTTGTTGGGCTCATTTGCATACTCACTCCTGATTGGCTGGTGGGTATCATGGAGGTATGGTCAATTTGCACCTTTCTCTTTTATTACTGTAGCTGTATAAAGTATTTCATATATGGAAAAGAAGCTTGATGTTTTTCTTTATAAAAATTTTTATCTGAAATAATAATGAAGTGTTCTAGAAAATTCACGGTATTTCATATTAACTCTTAATAGATTGTTTTAAAACAAAGAGATTACAGTCAAACCTTGTTTCTCAAATGTCTCCCATCTTGAACAATTCGGTTCTTTTTTTTTTTCTTTTCTTTATTGATTAGATATTACATATGTGTCCTTTTCCCCACATTGCCCCCCATCCCTCCGCTCATGCCCTCACAGTCCTGGTGTCTGTGTCCATTGGTTAGGCTTATATGCATGCATACAAGCCCTTTTCTTGAGCAAGTTGTTAACAGGAAAAAAATGCCTCCATGGACCAAAACTTCAGTTTTTGAACTGAAAGCCTTTTCATGTTGATACCTCAGCATGACAAAAAGCATCTAGCAGGCAACTAGCAAAGGAGTTGCTGGCAATTAGCACAATTTTCAAATATAAATATAATGTTGCTAAGGGTGTGAAAGTGCTCACAAAACAGTAATCACAGGTAATTGAATAGGTAGAAAAACTTGTTGATTGGATAAGGAAAAAGCAGCTTGTGATAGCATTTCAGAGGCAGTGATAAATGAAAAATTCCTTTAAGGCTAATAGGGGATAGTTCTGTAAATTCAAGAAAAGAAGTGTTTATAAACTAGAGCCCTGTGCACAAAATTCATACACTTGGGGTGGGGGGTGGCCTCAGCCCAGCCTGCGCCCTCTCACAGTCAAGAAGCCCTCAAAGGATGTCTGACTAATGGCTTAGGCTCACTCCCCATGAGCCTGGCTTCTGGCTGAGCAGTGCTCCCCCTGTGGGAGCACACTGACCACCAGGGGGCAGCTCCTGTGTTGAGCATCTGCCCCCTGGTGGTCAGTGCATGTCATAGCGACCAATTGTTCAACTATTCAGTCAAAATATTAGCCTTTTATCATATTAGATTAAGCGGTGCATTAGACATTTACTGTATATAAGAAAGGTTTGAAAAAATCATTTGGGGGTATGGAATGGATTGATTAAATTGACATTTTTTCTAATGGGAAAAAATTATTCAGTTTTCAAACTGCTTCTTGAACAGCCTTCTGGAACAAATTAAGTTCAAGAAACAAGATTCCACTGTATTTTACAAATAGATTTACTGAGCCATTTAATCAAAGTGATTACTTGAAGTGCATACTTTTCTAGAGGTTTTTAAGGCTTAGGTTAAGATGACTACTTGTGGAAGTTATTTTGTTATAAATCTGAATATTTGCACCTATTGACAATTATTTATAGGTTTATGAACCACATGAAACACCATTTGGAACTTGAGAAGCAGAACAGTGAGAGCTGGGAAAGCCACACCACCTGCCAGCACTGTTACCGTCAGTATCCTACACCATTCCAGCTGCAGTGTCACATTGAGAGTACACACACACCTCATGAGTTTTCTAGTAAGTAGTTTCACTGTAGTGCTGAACATCAATGATTTTGATCATCTAAACTCTGAGGAATCCTTAACAACTCTGATAGAAAAATAAGAAATAGACTTTGTAGTTTGAGGGCAAAGTGGAAAAGCAAATTTTAACTTGCAGAAACTTTTCAATAAAATTACTTAAGTGGAGATCCCTCTTACAAATAGGGCATATCTCCTGTATTGTGTGTAAGGGGTAAGCTAAAAACCAGAGTCCCTGGTTTGCAAATATGAAATCAAGGATCTGATTTATACTCTAATAAGAAAAATAACTGCAATGAAAGTTAAAATCACAGAGTGTGGAGTTAGACAACTTGGACCCAAATTCCAGTTCTGCCTCTTAATACAACTGCGAGATATCAAGCAAGTTACCTAAACTTTCTGTGCTTCAGGTTCCTCATCTGAAAAATGGGAATAAAAATAACAGTACCTCTCTCAACTATGGAATGGGAATTATTAAGTAAGCTAATACAAGTAAAGTCCTTACTACAGCATTAACAGAGTTAACTATAGAATTATTGGAACCACCATCACTGTTACTATTATTATTTGTTGCTGTTGTTATAGATGTACAGAATGAACCTTTTATTTATATACATCCTTAAAATGATGTAATGTGTGTTTTTCCAATTTCAGCGATTTGTAAAATCTGTGAATTATCATTTGAAACAGAACATACTCTTTTGCAACATATGAAGGACACTCATAAACCCGGTGAAATGCCATATATTTGCCAGGTACACACACATTTTATTGTGTACTTAGGTGTTAGTTTCATTATGTGCCATGAAATAGTATTTTATTATTTTTTAAACATTTAAATAAAACAAGTGACTAAACTTGAAGACCTTATTTAATCGTAGAAACTCCCTTGATTTAACTTGTGTATGTGTGGGTGGTGGGTTGGATTTGGCCTGTGGGTCATAGTTTGCTGACCCCTGTACTAGAAAAACAAAATAACCTGCTAGAAAAAGACAAACATATGGACCTTGTTACTAAGTAGGGAAAATAAAGACATGCCAGAAAATAATAAATGCTGTTAGTTATGGGAAACTCAACTAAATACTTTGATTTTCCATAATTTGAAGTGGTTCCCAATAAGATAGCAAGATAAAGATAAATTGCCTCTATCATATCCTGGATGTTATTTCAAATCCAAAGAAGAGAATACTCTCATTTTATATATATATAGCAGGATAGGACAAGAGGTGTCAGTTTGAATGATACTTTTCTGTTTCAGAGATCATCATTATTATTTTAAGTAATAGAATTCTTGATTGTATAGGCAGCAGAAATTAATTAGAATGTAATGTTCCTCTGAACAAATGACTTATCATTGCTACTTTAATGTAATTGCATATTTATACATGTTATACATGTTCAAGTTAAACTAAACCTTCTTTATATGTCTAGGTTTGCCAGTTTAGATCATCAACATTTTCTGATGTAGAAACTCATTTTAGAGCATCCCATGAAAACACAAAGAACTTGCTGTGTCCATTTTGCCTCAAAGTTAGTAGAATGGCAACCCCCTACATGAATCATTACATGAAACATCAGGTAAGTTTTAGCAGTTCTTATTTATTTTGTCTTAGTGAAAAGCTACATACACACACACACACACACACACACACACACACACACACGCACACTAGAGGCCTGGTACATGAAAATTAATGCACTGGAGGGGGCTTCTCTCAGCTGGGCCTGCCCCCTCTCACAGTCTGGGTGTCCTCAGGGGTAGGAGGCAACCTGGTGATCAGGGAAAGGCGATGCCCCCATCACACCTCTGCTGCTGCCACTGCCAACAGTGCAAGCCTCAGCCAGCCCTGGTTACCTCAGGTTACCTGGTTACCTCAGGTGGCCCTGGGTAGCTGGATAGCTGTCATCAGTGGTTTACCTGCATCTTGGGCCAGCCTTGGGGGGTTGAGGGGATTAGGGGACCCTGGAGGCAGGCATACAGAGCAACCAGACCTGCCTGGGGATGGGCCCGACCATGGCATGTGCCTGCCGCACCAGAGGGGCTGAGGGGACTGGACGCCATCATCTTGTGGCTATGGACACCACCATCTTTGAGAGCCTGGCAGTCAATCAGCATATTCCCTCCTTATTGGCTGTGGTGCCACCACCTTTGTGAGGTCATGACAGTCAATTAGCATATTCCCTCTTTATTAGATAGTATGTAAAATTTAGATCATTGGTTAAATTTGTTCTACAAGGAAAGCAAAGTTGTTACAAATGACACAATGTACAATTTATGCTAAATTACTTATGAAACTTCCACTTTTTTTACTTTTCTTTTTCCTCATGATGTGGCTCATGAAAAATGAAAATTCTGAAGCATAGGTAGTAATAGGAAGCATAGAGGAGAGGAGAAGAGGGAATATGAGTGGAATATTTAGGTTGGATATTTAGGGGGACTAAGAGTGTTAAGAATGGGGATGATTTTGAAGGTAGTTAATCAGGAGCAGAGAAAAGGATAAGTATGAACTGAGGAAGATATAATTGAGGACTCAGTCTTCTCTTTCCTTTTGCTCTTCAAACGTTATTTCTAACTTCTGGTCCATTTTTTATTATGAGAAGATGTGGTTCTCATCAGTGACCTGGAACAGTCTTTTGTAGCCATCAGTGATAAAGGAAACAGCAATGAGACTTTTTCTAGAATGTGAACTATGCCAGAGAATTATATTTAGGTTATAGCTTGTTTCCTGGATGACTTGCCAGTTCTTCTATGTAATTTCTCAGATACCAGTATTAGTGCTTTCATCTCTCCTTTGAATTATCATATTATGCTTGCTTGTTCTTTTCCTGACACAATTTCCTGACATCCTTTATTTGGGCTGCAAACTTTTTAAATTAAATTTGTTGTGGTTCCATATAGGTTTATAGTGTACATTTTTATGATACATGATCTGAATATTGCATTGTGCGGCCACCATCCACAGTCAAATTGTCTTCCATTACTACATATTTGTCCCTCTTTGAAGTAAACCTATTCTTTAGTGTTTGAAAGAGCAATGGTACCTTTGCCAAAATCAGTAGCAGTCAGTGAATTCCCTAAATCTGATTATGTAATCAAGTTCTGTCTCCTCACTGATCAGCTCATTGCATTTTCTTAGTATTGATTGCACTGCCAATTTATTCCACACCACTGCTAACATTGCCTTTAGTTCCAGTCATTAGATAATCATGAAATCAACTTATAGTTGTTAATTAGGGAAAAAATCATAAAAGTAGCATATTCAAATACATTTAAGATCACTTATGTCATGACTGGGCTAGTACCAACATGCCTACTTTTTTTTATCTTGATATGCCACCTCATCCTTAAGAACATCTGGCAAAATCTTTCTGTTCTAGCCCTAGCCAGTTTAACTCAGTGGATAGAGTGTCAGCCCTCAGACTGAAGGGTCCTGGGTTCAATTCCAGTCAAGGGCACATACTTGAGTTGCAGGCTCAATCCCTGGCCCTGATTAGGACGTAGTCAGGAGGCAACCAAGCTATGTGTCTCTCTCACATCGATGTTTCTCTCTCTGTACCTCTTTCTCCTTCCACTCTCTAAAAATCAATGGAGAAATATCCTTGGGTGGGAATTAACAAAAAAAAATCTATTCTAAGGTTTTTCCACAAGGTTCCATCAGATGTTAACAGAGGTTCTGCTCTAAAATTGTCTCCAGAAAAAAGAGATTCATTAGATGTCTAGATTTACAAAATAAATATTTTTTAAAAACCAAGATGTTAAGAGCTTTCAATATGCTAAAAAAAATTATAAATCTTCAAGCAAGGGATAAGAGCTTTCAATATGCTATATATATAGCATATTTTATTTATATATAAATAAAATCACTCAAAACTTAATATATAAGAGATATTGCATATATTTTTCCCAAAACTTATTTGACCATTGAACCCTTTATTTGTGCAATAACTATTAACATTTCTTGAGGAATAGGATATTGGAACCACTGGTCTTGGTGCTTTAAGTTTTATCTTTTGACCTTTGATTTTGAAGGAAGTAAGAGAATGGGTTTGTTATGAGGACTTTTATGTGGTTTGCATGATCTGTGGTCACTCTTCAGACCCTGAGTTGTATTTCTTAACTTGCCATGTATATAGTTAACCCAGCAGGTCTTGAGTTACTCAAATCATGCACATTTTCAGAAGGGTCTTCTTGCATAACTGGCCTTACCTAACTCCTGGAAACTGAACCTTTGTTATTAACTGACGAGTATTTTACATGCCTGGAACTTTGAACCATGTTTACCAGCTTTTCTAGATCATTTGTGCAATATATAACATGATTGTAGTGAACACTTGCTTTTCTACTTTTCTACTGTGAATCTGAAGGTTAGTGACGGAACTCCATAAAAAAATCAGGGCCATTAGACTCAAAAGAGCTTCCCTGGCAAAACAAAACAAAACAAAACAAAACAAAACAAAACAAAACAAAACAAAAAAAACACTATTCATATTGCTAGGAGATTGATTGTATTCTATACAACTACATCGGGAGAAGCACTTGGAAATTGGAGCCAGTATCTTTCAGACTCCACCCAAAGTACTTTTCTTTCCTTTATTAATTCTGCTCTGTATCCTTTCACTGTAATAAATCAGAGCTACATGTATCACAATTTCTAAATCTTAAAATTTCTCTTATGAGATCATTAAAACTGGGATTAATTTTAGAGATAACTGACACACCTTGAGTGCCCAAGTTTTTTTGTAAGTTTCAAACAAATTAACTCACCTCTAATGTCTTGGCTGGACCAGACCAAATTATTTTGTAGGCTTTATATGGCCTGCAGACCAGATGTTCCCCGCCCTGCATTAAAGGAAAAACTATTAATACAAAGATCACCAGGCATCCTTCAAAGTACTTGCAACTTGTATAATTGTTCACAAAATACTCAAAAACCACAGCAGGATTATAAGCTTGTAATTGAGATCATATTAATGCCATTTTAGACAATAAAATGTTTGAATCTATAGTCAGTTTTATTCTTTTTGAAGACTTCAGATGAAACTTTTTCCTAAAAAGAATATATTAAGTTTTGAGTGATTTTATTTTTTTATATATTTTTATTGATTTCAGAGAGGAAGAGAGAGGGAGAAAGGGATAGAAACATCAATGATGAGAGAGAATCATTGACCTTCTGCCTTTTATACACCACACACTGGGGATCAAGCCTGCAACCTGAGCATGTGCCCTGACCAGGAATTGAACTGTGACCTCCTGTTTCATAGGTCGATGCTCAACCACTGAGTCACTAAGTGATTTGATTTAATTTAATTTAATTTAATTTCTTTGCACTGAATGATTTTAGAGCTAACTATATGGATTGTAGAACTTTTAAGAAAAGGTGAAGGATTTCAGAAGTGTTAAATAGCCTCATTAAATCTTTATAATAATAAGGCAATTAAGTGAAATAAATCAGTCAGAGAAAGACACAAATAACATGATCTCACTCATATGTGGAATTTAATTAATGAAATAAATTGGTGAACGGAGTGAAAAAATAATAACAAAGCAATTGATATATATTAATCACTTGCCATATGACAGTTACTAGTGCTTTTACTTGTATCATCTTGTGTAATTCTCACCACCACTCTGCAAAGCAGGTATAAGGTCATTTTCATTTCATAGATGAGAAAGCAAATGAAACTAAAATAGTAATAAAAACACATTATATAGAGTAACTTGCCCAATGTCACATTCTCTAATAAATTATTATTTATAATATTATTTTTTTAAACAGAAAAAAGGAGTTCATCGTTGTACAAAATGCAGACTTCAATTTTTGACCAGCAAGGAGAAACTGGATCACAAGACCCAGCATCGGACTTTTATAAAACCTAAAGAACTAGAAGGCTTGCCTCCTGGTTCTAAAGTGAGCTCTTAAATATGTTGTATTTTAACATTTTGTGTGATTATAGAAATAACCTCCTGCCTGGTTTTATCTATTGAATATAATATTAAAAATTTACTTCTGATTGTCGTTAAGATTTTAATTTTAGGTTTTATCTTATGTTTAGAAAGAAAAACTTGTTCCATTCTTTTTTGAGTTGATAGACATGTGCTATATTGGATCATATTCCTTTGTAGTGAGTGCAAGTAAATTAACTGTAGTTTGAGTCAATGGTTTGTTTCAATATTCTGTAGGCTATTTCTAAGCTATTCCAGTTGGCAGCATATATATCTGCTTCAGCCGCTAGACTGTAAGGTCAGGATCATGTTTAATTTATCTTTGTGTCTCTGGAATTTGTCATAGTGCTTGGGTGCCATAGTTCATTGAAGTGGTATTATTGAGTGTTCTCAGAAAAGCAAATTCTGCTTCTGAATACCGTTGCTGTTTTAAGAGTGCAAACATGTCTGACTGCAAATTTCCTTTTCCCTGTTTGCTTTATGTACATTTTCTCTGACTTTTTTTTAAATGTAAAGTCAGCTCTTGGCTATGTTCCAGTGGAGAAATGCATAATCCAAAGTGAACAATTCCCAAACATTTATATTTGGCTTTGAGTACTTACCTTTGAATGTGAATATGTCTACTGTTTGAAAATAATGTAAAACAGTGCTCTGAAGATGTAGAGTGAGAGAAGCTATCCAGTATCCTTCCCTGTAATCCATTCATTCCATGCTGAGACTAAGACATGCAGAATATTAATGTAAGCAGTGCAGTCCTCCCTTATATCTTCCTTTATTAGTAGTAATGATTAGTATATTGCATTATAACATCATTATAATATTAATCATAAGGATTGGGACTAAATGTCTTATACTTTAGAATTAAGCTTTCTGTGTGTTTTTTCATAAATTTTATTATGTAATCCATGTAGCAATTCAGTGAGGTAGACAAGGCAGATATTATTCCCATACCATAAATGAGAAAGCTAAAAGAGGATAAATTACTCAAGGAAGAGGTGGCACTGAGATTTAACCTTGGGTCTTTTAACTCCTAGTTCAGTGTTTTTTGTGTGATACCAAACCACATGTATTACATATGACTTCTTCTATGGCTGCTCCTCAAGTATGTGGGGGTAGTATAGTCAAATGATTAAAGAATGTAAATAGGCAACTGTGTTTTTCATTATATTAATTAATGGATATAATCAAACATTTTCTTTTTCTAAATACTAAATGATAAATTTTATATTAGGTCCCTTAAAGGAAATTCTGAATATTATTAAATGCTCCATGATATATGATGAATTGATGTAACCACCACAGTAACCTTTGGAACCATAAATTCTGCCCAGTGAGTCCTGAGACAGCAAGTCTCATTTATTGGAGATCTATTTTATACTTACCAAAAAATAATTTAGGCCTTTCCATATTTATTATTTGGGGCCTTTGAGAATAAATTTTGACCTCTAAATTTGTGAAAGCTATTTAGTTATGTCTAAGTATGAAATAGCCATGGAATGTGCTGTTTTGATATTCATAAAATTAGTACAAACTACTATTTATCCATATCTGTGTTAACATATAAATACTATCAATACAAAATTGTAATAGTATGACAGTAAATAAATTTCATTTCATTGGTATGACCATTTAGAATAAATGGAAGATTTAACTGATTGTAATTTACCCTTGCCATTTTAAAAGTAATGATTTTTAATTTTTTGTATTGCAGTGATTTTTGAAACAGCTTTATTGATATAAATCATATAGCTTACTATTGATCCATTTAAAGTGTACAATTCAGTGTTATTTAGTACATGCACGAAGTTGTGCAAACATCACTACAATCCATTTCTGAACATTTTCATCACTCCCAGAAGAAACACCATTGGCAGTCACTTCCTATTTTCCTTCTACCAGCTTCAGGCAAACCTTAATCTATTTTCTGTCCCTGTGGATATTCCTGTTCTGAATATTTCATATAAATGGAATAATACCACAAGTGATTTTTATAACTGTCTTATTTCACTTTGCATAATGTTTCTGAGATTCATCCATATTGTAGCTTATATCAACATTTCACTCTTTCTTATGGCTGTATCAGTCCTTACGTACCAGTACTTACATATCAGTACTTCATTCTTTATTTATGGGTGAATATTATTCAGGTGTAGGGATATACCATATTTTATTAATCCATTCATCAACTGATGGGCATTTTGGTTGTTTCAAGGTTTTGTCTATATGAATTATGCATCTATGAGAATTCACGTACAAGTTTTTATGTGAACACAATTTTTTATTTCTCTTGGGTGGAATTACTAGGAATTGAATTGCTGGGTTATATGACAACTCTTATGTTTAACATTTTGAGGAATTGCCAAATTGTTTTCCAAAGCTACTGAACCACTGTACATTCTCACTAGCAATATATAAAAGTTGCGATTTCTCCATATAATTGGCAACACTTTTTATTATCTGCCTTTTTTGGGGGGAGTGGGTGGGGAGAGAAAATTAGTTTTGTTTTTTTAGCAATGGCATCATTGTGGGTAAGAACAACAGAGGCATGGGAATCAGTTCCTTTCGGGGAGGCTCAAACTGCCAGAATCCCTTTTCCCTCCCCCACTTAGGGCACTTGGGGGTTTGGGGAGAGGAAATGGAAAGGGCAGGGCATAATTGATAAAGCTGAAGAGTAACAAAAGATACTGGTGGGTATATTGGAGGGAGGACAAGGTCCAGGGGCTCTTTGGCATTCAGGCCTAGCCTCTAGTCCTTTCCCTTCCCTTTCTTGGCTTTGGCCTTGGCTTTGGTCCTGGAGGTACAGGGCTTGGTTATACAGATGGTCTCCTGGCACTGGGCATTGTACCAAGCCTTCTTCAGGGTGCCTTGGTAGGCTTTGGTACTCAAGCTCCCAGCACATGAGCCCCAGCTCTCAAACTTGTACTTGCGTCAAACTCCTTCCATATGCCTGGCACCCTGCACAGGATGCGCTGAGACTGGGCCCCACAGGTACCATTGCGGAAATCCATCCCACAGTCCTTGCTGCTAGGGGTGCAGAGCCCCTAGGTCCACTCTTTGCATTCGCTCCCCGAGCCACCCTTCTTCACTTTGTCTTTATTTTTGGCCACCACGGATATGAGTGCCAGCAGGGTGCAGAAGGTGAGGAGGAGGAAGCCCCAGTGCTGTATCCCGCTTGCTGCCCTCCAGTGCTGGCCCATCCCACTCCAGCCACTGCGGCCCCTTTTCTCTCTCTTTTTTTTAATTTTTTATATTTTATTGATTATTTTTACAGAGAGGAAGGGAGAGAAAGGGATAGAGAGTTAGAAACATCAATGAGAGAGAATCATGGATCAGCTGCCTCTTGCACACCCCCTACTGGGGATGTGCCTGCAACCAAGGTACATGCCCTTGACCGGAATCGAACCCGGGACCTCTCAGTCCACAGGCAGACGCTCTATCCACTGAGCCAAACAGGTTTTGGCCCCTTTTTTCTCTTATCTGCCTTTTTTATTATGGCAATTCTAGTTGGTCTTAAGTGATATCTCATTGAACTTTTGATTTACGTTTCCTTGATGACTAGTGATGTTGAACATATTTTCATGTGCTTATTGGCCATTGTATCTTCTTTGAAGAAATGCCTATTCATATTACTTGACCATTTTTCTAAATTTTTTCAATTATAATTTACATTCAGCATCATTTGTTTTAGTTTCAGGTATACAGCATAATGGTTGGACAAGTATATACTTTACAAAATGTTCCTCCTGATGTTTCTATTACCTACCTAGCACCATACATAGTTATTACAATATACTTTCCCATTTTTAAATTGGATTATTTGTCTTTCTTTCCTTCTTATTGACTTTTTTGGATTGACACTGGTTAACAAAATTACACAGGTTTCAGGTGCACAGTTCCACAACACATCATCTGTACACTGCATTGGGTGTTCATCACTTCAGGTTATTTGTCTTTATTACTGAGTTGTAAGAGTTCTTTATATATTCTGTATATAAGTTCCTTATTAGATATACGTTTTGAAGATATTTTCTCTCATTCTATGGCTTATGTTTTCACTTCCTTAATGGTATCCTTTGAAACACAAAAGTTTAAAATTTTTATGAAGTCCAATTTATGTTTTTCTTTGGTTGCTTATGCTTTTAGTGTCATATTTAAGAAATTATTGCCTAACCCAAGGTTACAAAGATTTATTATGTTTTCTCCAAAGAGTTTTCTAGTTTTAGCTCTTACAATTTGGACTTTTGGTATATTTTGAGTTAACTTTTATATCTAGGAGGGATCCAACTTGATTGGCATGTAGAGTATTTATTTGTCGTAGCACCACTTGTTGATAAAACTATTGTTTCCCTCACTGAATTATTTTAGCACCCTCGTCAAAAAACAATTGACCATGCTGTGAGTGCTTGCAGTGACCTTTTTAATATTACTTTGATGATTCATTTTATAAAAAATATATATTGCCTTCATATTTATAGGTTACTATTCGAGCTTCATTTGGATCTCATTCAAAGCCATCAACTGCATCTTCCAGTGATACTCCAAGCACTTCTTCTCTTCAGGTCTCACCTCCAAAGTCTAAAAATACAACTGCTAAAAGCTCCACAAAGTCAAATGCAAGTAAATCTAAGATACGTAAGGTTCGTTCAACTATTTCCAGTAAAAGTAAACTAGCCAATTCAAGTAAGCAAGGTAAAGGTGCAACTAAAAGCAAAGGAAAAACCTATTGCAAGCAAAAGAAACAACGCAACAGAAAGAACAAAATCATCATAGCTTTGAAGAACTTAAGGTAATCTGATTTGCAAAATCAATTCAGTATTCAAATTAAAGGTTTATTTTAATTTACCAGATCACAAAACTCCTTTGTACATTTACATGATGATTACTTATCTTAAAGGCCAAGCAGTAAAAAGGTACTTTTTATAACTGTTGGACAGAACTTGAATTACTGTGTTCATTGTATAATTGTCATCTTTTACACTGACCTTATATTTTGTATTTACATCTTACGATAGTTGAATTGGTTAATATAATCTTTTTTATTTCAGGGAAAGTATAACTACTGTTAGATTTTTTATACTTATTCTAGCTTAGCTTATTTCAAAAAAATTTCAAATTATAAATCTAAAGATGTTAACTTAAATATCTTAGCTTCAATTAATAAAATGTTAATAAGGTTTTACCTTATTATTTTTGTTTTACAATATAAATTTTATCATTTTTTCTGTTTCCATAAGGTGTTATCGAGGAGTTCACAAGTGCATTGAGTGTCATTCCAAAATTAAAGATTTTGCAAGCCACTTTTCAATACATATCCACTGTAACTTTTGCAAATACAACACTAACTGTAACAAAGCCTTTATCAATCATATGGTGAGGTGAGTTAAATATGTACACTGTCAATCAAAATTGCCATTTAAGATGTTTGTTTGCTTGTTTTTCAAATAAATCTGTACTATTAGAAGCAGTTTGTCACATCAAGGAGCTAAAAGAATCTAGCAAATAGGGAACTCCTAGGCTATTACCCAGTACTACTTTCTAGCATAATAATTCATGAAATTAGTAGCACAAAAATTTCAAGAAGCTAGACTAATGAAATTAAAATAAGTTTGTTAGGGAAATTTGTTTTTCTGGGTCCTTCAAAAAATGGTTATTTCCAAACAAAGCTTTTTAAATGTTTCAAAATATTTATTAAATAAATACACGTAACCACATAGCAGTCGCTTTGAGAGACATCATATTTGTCAAAGATGCTAAGACCATTATTGGCATCTTAATTCACATATGCGCACTCACTCTGTCCCTCCACCGCTTTGTCTCTCCATCCACCCCTCTTTGAAGCCATCCATCTTTGCATTCATTTCAATGAAATGTGAAATGAGATACTATAGGGATATTCCAGGGAGGAGTCTACTGTTGAAATTTCTTTTCATATATCAATTCAATTTATATTATTTTAGTACCTACCATATACTTTATGCTAGAAAAAAATACTTCAGAGCCCATTACTTTCATTTGGATCTTACTGGTATGTTCTTCCTTCAAGATGGATTATTTTTAATAGACAAAAAAATTTTTAATATAATTATGCTGTTGATTCAAATTAAGGTAGTTGCCCTTAGTAATTTTTTTTTTGTCAGAAATAAAGTATAACCACTAAAAGTTGTTTTCTCTGAAATCATAACAAGACCTCTGTGTTACTTTCTGGTCATAGTTAACTTCCAATTTATAGGATTTGCCCAGGTTCCCCGCCCCTTCCTTGCTGATGAGCCTGACCTCATGGTACCTTGACTTCTTTAAAGCCAACACTTCATATCCACTTTACATTTTGACTTCTTACCACTGTCCCATATTACCTCATTGTATACAGTATTCACTTTGAATTATCATTACTCCATGACTTTGAGTTTTGACCCCTCTTTTTAGTCCAGCAGCACCAATCCAACTTTATAAACCTCATCCTCAAAGTCATTTGTTTGAATGTTGCTTTATTTTTGCCCTATAATCCTTTACATCTTTAGTCATGCTTAACCTTGCTATCCTTGAATCTTTTATCCTTTTTTTAATATATATTTTATTGATTTTTCACAGAGAGGAAGAGAGAGTGATAGAGAGTCAGAAACATTGATGAGAGAGAATCATCAATCAGTTGCCTCTTGCACACCCCCTACTGGGGATGTGCCCGCAACCAAGGTACATGCCCTTGACCGGAATCGAACCCGGGACCCTTCAGTCCCCAGGCCAATGCTCTATCGACTGAGCCAAACAGGTTTCAGCTGAATCTTTTATCCTTTTTGATCTGTCTCTATGTTCAGTTATAGACTATGAAGCTGTGCTTGATTCGGTCAGCTCTTAATTCGTTTTCTACTTTAATTTGGTCCTCTTTTTAAAAATAACTTTTATCTACAAGATCTGTTTATTTTTTTAATTAATTTTTATTGTTCATATTGTTACAAAAGTTCCTCATTTTTTCCCCTCCACCAGATTCCCACCCCACCCTTTGCCCTTTCCCCACCCCCATTGTCCTCATCCATAGGTGCACAGTTTATGTTCAGTCTCTTTCCGCACCCCCCACTCCTCTTTTCCCCGAGACTTGTCAGTCCACTCCCCTTCTATAACTCTGATCAAGATCTGTTTAAATCCTTTTAAATACTCTCAAAATTTATTCTAACCTCTCAGATGTTATCCTTTTCTAATTGCTCAGAGATAACCCTTTTCCATTTTTCCAAGATTAACTTTTCTATCTCAAGTTTTTCCCTTCATCCAGATATTAATCTTAGGGAAAAAATGGCCCATTTTTTCAGTTTACCCTGCCTCTTAGCTCCTACATTTCCTCTGTAACCTTATTGAGTTATTTTGTGCCTTCATTTGTTCTTTTCCTCCCTACTATTCCTTCTGTCTGCAAATATTTTCAGGATTTTTTTTAAGATGAAGGGAATTTACCTTTTCTTTGCATATTTTCTTCCTTTTATTGACAACATTTATAGTTTCCTTTACTATCATTTCTTTATCCTTTGTAATCTGAGTATCAACCCCACCTATCAGTTAAAGCTGCTTCTTTTTAACAGGTATGCCCTAATTACTAAATCTACTCACTATTTTTCATTCTTATTCCTCTGTGACTTCTTTAGAGTATTTGATATTTTTGATAACTTGCTTTTGAAACTCCTTTCAATTTCTCTTAAACTGTTACCAACATTTTTTTAAATTTCCTTTTTGGCTACTCCTCTGTTTCATTAGTTTTTCTTTCTTCAACTCTTTTGGCCTCTTTTCTTTCTCGGTCCCTAAACCACTCTCAGATTTTTATCTTTTACCTTTCCCCTACTTCTATGGACTGAAAGGTCCCAGGTTCGATTCCTGTCAAGGGCATGTACCTTGGTTGCGGGCATATCCCCGGTAGGGTGTGTGCAGGAGGCAGCTGATGGATGTTTCTCTCTCATCGATGTTTCTAACTCTCTATCTCTCTTCCTTCCTTTCTGTAAAAAAAAAATCAATAAAATATATATTTTTAAAAAGAATATTCTCAGGAAAATATGTTATTAGAAAATACACAAGTAAAGTGAAATATACAATACAAATTTTGAAGTAAACAGAGATGACTAATAGAATTTCATAACCTAGACCAGGATCTTTTATTCAAAACTAATAAACTGATCATAGCCTTGAAATATAGTCATAAAATTAATATGATTTATTGTATAATAAAATCTTGTCTGTGTTTTATTTCCTCAGTTATCATAGCAGCCATCCAAGTAAACAGTCTCCTCTTTTTCATAAACATTGTGGAACTCCCAGGTAATTAGCTGATCTTTTTCTGTTTTCTTTATTTAAAAATTATAGTAACTTTTTCTAACCTGATGCTGGCATGCCTAGTTTGGAAAATGAAATGATTGCTACTAAATATAATAGAGTTTTATTTATTATATTCTTAGATCAAAGAGGGGATATGTTCTCTAACTAAATTTTGTTTCAGTGGTGTTAGTCATTAATAAGAAACTTCCAGCCCTAGCCAGTTCACTCAGTGGTTAGAGCATCAACCCTCAGACTGAAGGGTCCTGGGTTTGATTCTGGTCAAGAGCAGGTACCTGGGTTGCAGGCTCAATCCCTGGCCCAGATTAGGGCATGTGCACGCGAAGCAACCAGTTGATCATGTTTCTCTCTCTTTCTCTATCTGTCTCTCCCTCTCCCTCCCACTCTCTCTAAAAATAAATGGAAAAAAATAGCCTCGGTTGAGAATTAATAACAACAACAAAAAAGGAAGAAACTTTCATGGATTTGCATTAAAAAATAAAAATAAGGCTCTCCAACAATATTTGAATATTAAAGATATTTAAGATACCTAGTAAAGTAATTAACACTTTTTTGGTTTTAACCAATATATAGCTTCATAATTCGTACATTTTTTCCTTTTTGAAATAAAGAAAATTGTGCAACTTATTTACTATACAAAGAAATTGTCAATGAATATTTCTAAAGGTACTAATAATTAACTTTGGTTATACCTACCACACACACTTAGCTCAGAATCCACTAAATAACTACAGTAATACAAGGAGGTTTGTAATGAGTGCCATGAGAATTAATGATTTCAAAGAGAAGAGTGGTTTTTATTTATACAAAGAGGCACAAGGGCATTATAGTTGGAAGGAATAGCATGAATAAAAAAAGCAGAAAGGAAAAAAAACAGAAGTGATAGTACAATTTGGGTAGATCATGAAGTACATATAAATACTGGAGGCCTGGTGTATGTAATCCATGCACTGGTGGGGGGGTCCCTCAGTCCAGCCTGTGCCCTTTTGCAGTCCAGGACCCCTTGGGGGATGTCCAACTGCCGGCTTAAGCCCGATCCCTCTCACAATCTGGGATCCCTCACTCCTTACCGCCTATCTGCTCGCTTCTTACTGCTTGGCTCACTGCTCCTTAGCGGCAGGCTCCTAACTACTCAGCTTGCTGCTCCTTACCACTGCCTAGGAGATGGGAGAGGCTCCCACCACCGCAGCTGCACTTGCCGGCTGTGAGCCTGGCTTCTGGCTTCTGGCTGAGCTGCTGCTCCCCCTGTGGGAGTGCACTGACCACCAGAGTGCAGCTACTGTGTTGAGCATCTGCCCCTGGTCATCAGTGCACTTCATAGCAATTGATCATTCCACCATAATGGTTGCTTAGGCTTTTATTATATAGATATCTTCACAAAAATGTATACACGCAATTATAAAGGAAATGCTTTATTGAAATACATTTCATTTTCAAAATCGAGCTCAGCTGTTAAAAGTGTATATACATGTTTTTGGGACACCCTGTAGTATTGAGATCGAAGTCTGGGGGAATAGTTTTTAGATCAAGATTATGCTCTTGAAAAAGGATAGGGAAATTGGACTTAATTTTAATTTGAAGGCATTGGGGAAACCATGGGTGTTTTATGCAGAATCAAGAATACTGAAGAGCTGGGACCGGTTTGGCTCAATGGATAGAGCGTCTGCTTGGGGACTGAAAGGTCCCGGGTTCGATTCCGGTCAAGGGCATGTACCTTGGTTGCGGGCATATCCCCAGTAGGGGGTGTGCAAGAGGAAGCTGATCAATGACTCTCTCTCATCGATGTTTCTAACTCTGTATCTCTCTCCCTTCCTCTCTGTAAAACATCAATAAAATATATTAAAAAAAAAAAAAGAATACTGAAGAAAGATCAGTTTGGAGGGGTATAAAAATGAGTTGTAGCTGGATAAAGCACATAGATAGTTCAAGATTATTATGCTACTTAAGACTGATTTAATAAGAACATGGGTTAAGACAACAATGTGTTATTATATCATGTTTAAGAACATGGGCTCTAGAATCAAAGGGCTGAGTTTCAAACCTGGTCCTGGCCTTGTTAAGTTTCCAAACCTGACTTTGTCCTCTATAGAAAATCAGTTATTAATAGCACCTACTTCTTTGGATTTCTGTACTATTATATTTAAATGAGATGATATGTCTAAAATCTTTAGCCTGGCCCCAAAGAGTGCTCAATAAATTGTCAATATTAAAAAAATGTTTGAAATATTGACAGTTTTAAGGAAAAAGAGAGTTAAAGATAACTGCGATTTTAAATCTTTGTCTTGGGGACATGACCTCATAAGAGAGGTCATTTGGGAGGAGTGATTTTTAGGGGTGAGGAGGAAAGCGCATGGCTTCAGTTTTAAAAACATCATTTTTGTTGTGACAGCCAGATGTAAATATACAACAAACTGTTAAGATTAGAACTGCAGGGGAGAAGTCAGTCTAAGGAATGCTACTGATTTTTATTTCTATACTGATGAAATACTCAAATTTAAAGTATTTAAATTTAAACTGAACTATAAAAGTATATTTATGCTTTGTTATTAAGCTGATAATAATAATTACATTATTTTTATGATTTCATTTTTTTCTGATTTTATTGTCACTTAAGATTTTAGATTGTAGGCTCCACAGAGTGTATAAAGAAGGTCCTCAGCAAATGTATATTGAATGAATCAATATTATATACTTGCTTTGCATATAGGCAAAGGTATAGAAAGATTGTGCCTTATGTATCTTGGTTGCGGGCATATCCCCAGTAGGGGGTGTGCAAGAGGCAGCTGATCGATGACTCTCTCATCGATGTTTCTAACTCTCTATCTCTCTCTCCCTTCCTCTCTGTATAAAATCAATAAAATATATTTTTTTAAAAAGAAAGAAAAAAAAAGATTGTGCCTTGCACATATTATGCAAATTGTTAGTGGAGCCACAAGTGGGCTTTAGGTCTCTTAACTCCTATCTTTTAGCAACTGATATGAGAGGGAACAGTTTATAAAGTACTAAGTGTTAGCATAACTTAGACATGGTTATATCATTTTCTAAAGCACCATTTCAGGTATATCAGGCTTATATAACAAAATTGAAAAGTGATGGTTATGATGCATAAAAAGTCAAGTGTTGTTACATGGAAAATAATTATTGAACCTATATATGGATTTTCATAAAAGATAAAAACCTTTTCTTTCTGTCTTCTTTTTTCCATAGGGGCATTACTCTAGTGTGCCTTAAATGTGATTTTCTGACTGATTCTTCTGGCTTAGACCGTATGGCTAAACACTTATGTCAACGTAAAACTCATACTTGCCAAGTTGTAATAGAGAATGGTATGTATATATAATTGCATTACTTTGAATTTCTGATATATATTACTGTATTTTATCAGTCACAATATGGGGTTTTAATTTTATTAAGCTATAGTCTCACTTATATATGCTATTTTAAATGTAAAACTCTTCTTCTAATTTCAGTTCCCAAAAGTACCTCAACTTTTGAATCCTCTTCTGAGTAAGTTTCTTTTCATTCAGTGCACTTTTCTTTGATGGATTTTAGCACTTTTGCATATTTTTAATGTATAATTAATAGAAATGAAAAATATTAAAGTATTTTGTTTTTGTTTTTGTTTTTAAAGCTGCTTGTTGAAATAGATTCCTGCTCTATGGAGCTCGTGCAACCTGGTGCAAGACAAGTTGGAATTTCCTAAGTTCAAAGTTCTGAAGTGTTTTCTTACACAGAGCCAGTTTCCTAAGTTCAAAGTTCTGAAGTGTTTTCTCACATAAAAATGGTTAAATACCCAAGTTCATGACACTAGCTCTCATTATTTAGCTCTTTTCAGCTTTCAGATGGCACTAGATTCTTATTCCACCTTATCTTTGTGTCAGGTTAACATATCTTAACATGCTCTTTTTTTCTCCAGTTGGCTCTCTCCAAAAATAACTTTTTGTTTGCTATGGTCTCTCTTTGCTTTGCTTTAAAATAATTTGTGTTTTTCTCTGCTGTACTTGCCTTCAGAATATTGCATTCCAAATGATGTGGCTATTCATCTTTTTGTGTCTGTTTTGTCTGACTTATTAGTTAATTTCATACAAATCTTACATTTTAGGTCAGATAGCTGTCTTCTCGTTCCTTGTCTGTCATTGTTCTATTTTTCATATTTTTCAGATGCAGAAGCAACACAGAAATTTCAAAAAATGTCCAGGGTACTCCTTGTCAGTGTCCCCCTTCGTTGAACACAACTGATGCCTGTTCTCTCTTTCCAAGGAATGTGAATTGTTTAACTGTGAGACCTCCTGTAGGTTGTGGCCTTAGGAAATCAGATCTTGGGAAGAGTCACTTCCTTCATGACTGTCTGATGCTAATTTGGCCAGAGATGACCTCAAGGCCCACCAATTTGAGCACAACTTTCCATTGGGGGCTTTGGTTCTTGATCTTAAGCTTATGGTTTGATTCTAACCAAGAAAAGCCCATCAAATCAATGCTTTATCCACCCAAGTTGAAGTTTAATCGTTTTGGCTGCTGCCCTTTAGTCTCCTAGCATGCATGCAGTCTAAGGAATTTTAAAACTGATTGTATAGGGAACCAAGGCTACTTTCATGCTCTTAGAAAAAAAAAGTTTTCTAAAATTACACTTCCAAAGTTACAGTTACTTGTACTATCGTTTTAAAATTTTATCCAGTATTAAACCTAGGAGTTTTCAACAGTACTAATAGTTTTAAAAGTTGAAAGTTTATTTTAATTTTATCTTGGTTTTATGTTGTTCTTCAGAAAATCTTTTGATGTCTTTTGTTATGTCCACTTTTATCTCTTTTCTTTAAAATGTTTGTGTTTCATTTTGTTCAGAAATTCCTTAGAATCCTCTCTAGATATCATTTAGCTACCTATTGGTACCTTCTTAATTTGCTAATTGTTCAGACCATTAGATGTTATTACATCCTTCGTCCATCGTAGGACTATTATTAACATTATTTTAGTTATTTTAAGTTCAAAGACATAAGTTTGGAAAAACATTTTCTGTAGACCTTAAAACAAGTTTAAAGTTACATTTCTATACATCTAATACATATTATCTTCTTAGCCATTAATGTAATCCCTTTGGATAAAGATAATATATTCAAAAATATTGGGACCAAAAAACGCACTTGTTTCTTGCCCATATATAAATATATATATATAGATGTATATATTTTTTAATTTGGTGTTTGTTTATTTTGGTTACATTTATTATAGATTTTCTGAACAGTTTTGATGTTATTACTTATTTTTTTAATAAAAGTTGTATTGTTAAAGTGCCTCAGGGATTATTTTTTAACAAATAACATCATATAAAAGCTGAAGATTTTATCATACAACTAGGAGCATTGCTTTGCTTCTTACATGGAAGCCTGATTATTTAGCCTATAGATTGAGGGCTTTATCTACTGAGTGCATGCTACCATTTTTCCTCCACCACAGTTAAAAGCTCACTATTTATACTTTACTATTCTTGAACTTTAAAAGCTGACATAAATTCCTTTGTGATCTTTATAACCATGAAGGTAGGTGAACTCTGAAGTTGTTTGATTCAACCATGAGTGGTTTTTCACCTCTTAACATCAGAAACCTTGAACTATATTTTGAAACAGTCTTAGCCTAGCTGGTGTGGTTGAGCATTGACCTATGAACCAGGAGATCATAGTTCAATTTCCAATTAAGGCACATGCCTGGGTTGCAGGCTTGATCTCCAATGGGTGGAATGCAGAAGGCAGCCCCAATGATTCTCTCATCATTCATGTTTCTATCTCCGGCTCCCTCTCCCTTCCTTTCTGAAATAACTTTTAAAAAATAAAAAGAAACTGTCTTAGTACACTTGGGCTGCTATAACAATACCATAGACTGGGTGGCTTATAAACAATAGAAAATTTTTCTCACAGTGCTGGAGGCTGGGAAGTCCATGACTGGTAGATTTAGTGTCTAGTGAGAGCCTCTTTCCTGGTTCAAAGACAGTCATCATATTGCTGTGTCCTCACATGGTAGAAGGAGCAAGAAAGTTTTCTGGAGTCTATTTTATAAAGACACTAATCATGAGGGCTCAACTCTCCTGAGCTAATTACCTCCCAAAGGCCCCATCTCAAAATACCATTACCACATTGGGGGTTTGGTTTCAACGAATGAGGGAAGAGAGACAAATATTCAGCCTATAACAGAAACTATTAAAAGCCAGTTTTAATTACCACTTGTAATATATCTAATCTTTGCAATTCATACTCAAAAGAGTTAAATCTATTAGTTTTAATTTTCCAGACTGATTTCTGTGTAAATGATTTTCCAAAATCTTCAAAAGTAGATTATTTCTTGGAAGTGGGCTTGGTGGTATTCTACTGTTTATTTCCATATCTGTCTCTGGGATGGCTTTTCATCCACCACCTTTCTTTCTTTTTAATATATTATTGGTTTCAGAGAGGAATGAAGAGGGACAGAGAGAGAGAGAAACATCAATGATGAGAGATAATCATTGATCAGCTGCCTCCTGCATTCCCCACACTGGGGATTGAGCCCACAACCTGGTTATATGCCCTGACTGGGAATTAAACCATGACTTCCTGGTTCATAGGTCGACACTCAACCGCTTACCACACTGGCCAGGCTAATCCACCATCTATCTACCTAATATTTTTTTTTTACTTTACAAAAGGAGGAGGGCATGTGCTGGGGATTGGGGATGGCTGGGGAGAGGTCAATGCGGGGGAAAGACTTATGTAATACATTTAACAATAAAAATTTTTAAATATATTATATATAATATACTATATATAATAAAATTTGCTATTTTAACTATTTTCAAGTGAACAGTTCAGCAGCATTAATTATTAACTATACCAAGTTTTAAGCTTTTTCCATAAATAACTTATTTGTGATTTTAACATAGCTTCTCTTTTTATATATTTTCTCTGCTTCTGTCATAGTTTAAAAATATAAATTACATTCTTGCTATAGCAATATTTTAGGTAGGGGTACAGTTTGTATTCTTCCATAAGACTCAATTTCTCATTTTCTCATTTCAAATTTCTCATTTTCTTTAAGTATAATACTCTTAAAATTCTGTTTCCTATAGCATAATTTTTTTACTTGTTTAAAACATTTGAGTTGGTCAGTACTAAGCTTACTTATTTGCAGATGGTTGGGTGAGTTTTAATTGGTGCGAATGAGTTTTGGTTTGACAGTCTAATCCCTTTACCTTCATGTTGTTCTAATAGTCATGCTTTCAGCTGATTCAGAAATGGCCATCTTGTACATGTGTGCTTTTTGCTTACAGCTGCGTAAAAGATGTGAGTGACTCTGTTTCAGTCCGTCACCATTACTAGAAAAATAACCTGTAAACTATAGAGATTTAATTTCTTGCTCTTTTATTGTCACACTTTGCCAAAACACTTTTTTGTGCCTCATTTATTTGTTCAGCAAATATTGAGCATTTACTATGTGCCTGACACTGTTCTGGGTGCTGGAAAATAGACCGAAATCTCTCTGCCCTGTGGAGCTTACATTTCAGTGGAAGAAAAACAATAGAAAATTATATAGTGTGTTAGATGATGGTTAATACCATGGAAATAATTAATTAGGGAAGGATAGTGGGTTAGAGATTGGGGGTTGGGAAGCTGCCATTTTTAATTTGATGGTCAGGGAACACCTCCATGAAAAGGTAACAATTAAATATCTGAAGGAGGCGAGGAAGTGAGCTAGTTGGGTATCTATATCAGAAAAGCCTTCCAAAGAATAGCAAATGCAAAAGCCTTGAAGGGCAAATTGGAATGCTCACACATTGCTGGTGGGAATGTAAAATGGTTCAGCCACTGTGGGGAAAAGTTTGGTAGTTCTTCAAAAATTAAACATGGAATTACCATATGACCCAGCAATTCCGCTTCTAGGTATATATAAAAAATAATTGAAAGCAGGATGCTAGCTGGAATGGCTCCGTGAATAGAGCATCATCCTGCAGACTGAAGGGTCTCGGGTTCGATTCCAGTCAAGGACACATGCCAAGGTTATGGGGTTGATCCTCAGTAGGGGGCACACAGGAGGCAGCCAAACTACGATTCTCATCATTAATGTTTCTCTCCCACTCCCTTCTTCTCTGAAATTAAAAAAAAAACAAAAACAACAACAAACAGCCAAAACCGATTTGGCTCAGTGGATAGAGCGTCGGCCTGCAGACTGAAAGGTCCCATGTTCGATTCTGGTCAAGGGCATGTACCTTGGTTGCAGGCACATCCCCAGTAGGGGGTGTGCAAGAGGCAGCTGATCGATGTCCCTCTCTCATCGATGTTTCTAACTCTATCCCCCTCTCTTCCTCTCTGTAAAAAAAATCAATAAAATATATATTAAAAAACAACAACAAATAATTGAAAGCAGGGACTCATATTTGTACATATATGCTCATAGCAACACTTCACAGTAGCCCAAAAATGGAAACAGCCCAAACATCACAACAGATGAAGAGATAAATAAATTGTAGTATATCCATACAATGAAATATTTAGCCATAAAAAAGGAAAAATAATAAAAGGTTACATATTATATAATTTCATTTATATGTAATCTCTGAATAGGCAAATCTATAGAGTCAGAAAGCATATTGGTGGTTACAAGGGGCCAGGGGAAGGAGGAAATGGGG